AACACGTCCGGTCTACATCCATAAATTACCCGCAGCTCTGATATATAGTACACTAAATATCGAAAAGTACAAACAAATTATTTTTTAAGCCAAAACAAATTGTAAAAAAAAAAAAAAAATAGAATCCCCATTACTAATTTGTTGACCAGTAAGTTTTTTTTTTTTTATTATTCATACTTATTCGATGGGGTTTTTGTTTCCATAAACGTATAACAAACGTTGTATCTAAACGAGAATCAATTATTTTTGTTGAATTATAAATTAAAGAAAATCTCGTTTGATGATTTCGGAAATTCATGACGTCACATCTTATAATATCATGTATGTAAACACAACGGACAAATCTTTTTTTTAATGAGAAATCAACCGATTTCGTTTATTTACAGTTTATGTTTTTCACTCGATTTATTTTAGATTCTGAGTTTAACGTAGAAGCTATTTATTTTAAAAAGATATATTTTTTCTAAGAAATCGCCTTTTGTGGTTAGTATAAAATAATCGTATGTAAAAAAGAAAAAAATGCAGATTATTTAGCTGATGGTATTTTATTTAAGACTTTTTTTTTAAAATCCNTTTTCTAAGAAATCGCCTTTTGTGGTTAGTATAAAATAATCGTACACACAAAAAAAAAAATGCAAATTATTTAGCTGATGGTATTTTATTTAAGACTTTTTTTTTAAAATCCTTAATTGTAGTTTTAGTAATATTTTTTTATGTTTTGTTTTAAAATAATTTTTTGGTTAAGCTAATGTTCTAATTTTTTGACCCAGTACCTAAATAGATTCAAAACGTCTACTCGGTGGAACTTTATTTGAAACATTTATCGTAATTTATAAGAGTTTACGCCCTAGATTATTTTTTTGTTGTTCGATTTTTGTTAATTTCTGCACGAAAAATTCGAGCGCGAGATATTTCCGGATCCTCCCATTTGTTCAGTCAAGTCCGAATTGTATGAAAAATGCAGGTATTGAAATTTGAATATATCATCCACAAATATTATGACGTTTAAACGCAAATGTATTATATGGTTTAAATATAAATGTACAAAATCTCGTAAAATACGACGAAAAACTCACACACACACACACACACACAAGCTCGCGCGCGCACGCGCGCGCCCGAGGAAAAATGTTAAATAAATGCAAATGCGTTTTCAATATAATCCGTTTTAGCGAAATCGGTTACGTCGGAGTTAACCGTACACGGTAGGTACACAAAATCGATCGGAATAGGTATTATAACATACAATTTTTATACTCTTATATTTCTTTATAAATATTACATATTTTTTATACTGCAGAACGTCGTTAACAAATACGTGAATATTATTCGCGCGGAACTTTATTTCGTACACACAAATCGTTAAAACAGCTAGTCATCCGAAAACTGTCAACTGTATACGTATATGCAGTGAACATCGCTATAATTGTATTATCATTACGCATTTATATGAAAATATTATTGTAATTTTATTCGTCTAAAATATTATTTGTCGGACACATACTCGTGTAAACGTAAATTAGTGCTTACTGTCTAGAATTGTAGTTATCTATACGTAAATCCGATGGTTGTTCTCACGGGACGAGTAAACTAGGGGCGTCATTTGAGATATTCACGCTATACTTTAACAGCCCTATTTTATCAAATGAATTTTCGACCTGCATAAAACGTTATGATTGCACTGTCTATAAAATGTAAAACGCAAAAGTTAATCAACTGCTGCCAATGGCCGTCTGGGACGTGAGAGTGAGATACGGGCAATCGTTACCACGGTTATTTGTTACCATGGATAAATATTAAATAAACAAGCATGTCAGCAAGATAACAGTGTGCCTTGAAACCGATGTCAAGCGGAGTAAATGGTGGTACAATGAGTTATTTCATGGACAAATAAACGATGGTTGTAGTTTAATATTAATGTTTTAATAATATCAGAAAATATATCAATTGAATATTAAAATGCGCCACGGGAATATGTACACGAATGAGTATAACGAACGGTAAATTTTTTTCTGTTCCAAAAAAAAAATAAACAAAATATAATGGCCAGGCGCAGAGAAAAATTAACCCAATTTAAATGTTTGCATCCCATTGAATAACAGAAATAATACCTTTAAAGTAAACGAGTTAAAATATTAATTTTATATTTTTCGGAATTGTAAAAGAGATACCGAAACCAATGAGTGGAAAATTAAAAATAACGTACACGTATAGAACCGCAATATTAGAAACCACGAATATCGTGTAGCAAAGCCATCAGAAGTAAAGGCGCGGACTTTCAGCGACGTCATGTGCATTTTGACGTATTTTGATTGGCCATCTCGATAACATTCAGCCACCAAGTCGTAACTGGTAATTATTTCCATAGTTAGGCTGAACTCGTCTTTTCTTTCGGTTGTGTTTTAATGGACAATTAATTTTGTATAAGTTATTGGCATATCTGTGAATACTAAACGACACACGACGTCACTGATGAAAGTCCGAACGTATGACGGCCGGAGAGCCCGATTTCTTACCCCAAAGAAGAACATTTGAGTTGATATATGAGTGAACGTTTTTGAATATAAAATTATATTATGTTTAAATATCGCCTTAGCTCAAAATTAGTATAGTTTAGCAATTCAAATGAAATTCAAAGAACAGACATTTATCTAGAAAAGGACGTATCTATTTGATAAATATTAGTTTACATAAAAGTTACCTAATTTTTTTATTATAAACAAAAATGCCACTTTTTAATCAGGAACATTTACTATCTCTTTCAATTAATTCGAAAATCAATATGTCATACCCGAGATAATATTTTGTTCTTAATAACATGACTAATGTGTAAACTTCTAAATTAAATTTCATGATTACACGATGTAATATAAAAAACACTCACGATAAAGATCCAGGCCCATTTTTAATTTATCTGTAAGTGAATTAAGAATTTGTATATTTGTTGAGACGATTTAATATTGGCGGTGTGTTACCTGCTAAATTAAATGAAAAAAAAAATATACAATTACAAATATTTGAAATTATTCTTGAATTTTTTAAAAAAAATCAATCAGTATTGATCAAATTTTTTTTTTTAATAACCTAATTTGGGCAATGACGCCAAGGCATGGATAATTATTATCGTCCGCAAATATGCGAAAAACGCGACGTGACACAACGCGATCACTGCACAGTTCGTTATTATGATTTTTTGTCTCTGCCTATAATACCGGAAACATTATTTTATCAAACAATTTTCTGGTGTCGAGCATCATGGCTACCGCACCACCGCACTGTATTTCCCACGAGGAGCTGCGAACCCGTATTGTTCAACAAGTTCAGTTTTTCATATTTTATAAAATAAGTACACTCGTACATATTACACAGCCGTATAAAATAACATCAGGTCTGCGCATTTACCCGTACAAAAACAATTATATATCGTATTAAAAATAATATACCATTCCAGCAAAACACAAAAAAAAAAAAAACCCGACAGAGAATTCGATATCCGAGTAGAATAATATTATTTCATTGGACCATCCCCCTTCCACATAAAAACTCATCGAAAATGATTCGCACATGAAATTTTATATATGCGGTACCTACCTACCATATCTACCACAATAATTACCATAAAACGAGTTTAACAGCAATGTCCCGAAACGCGAGTTCGACTTTTTTTTTTATCACAGTTTTCTTCTTTCAATAACATATACGCAAATACGCCAGATTTTACATATTTTACACTAAGGGTCAGCCACAGCAAGCAAATCATTGTCTAAAAAAAAAAAAAAACAATTCTGAGTAGAGTATGGTTTAATGATTATTGGTTAAACTGGTGACTTTCATTTAGGTAACCAAGATAATATAGCAAAAGAAATATGTTAAAAATTTGAGTTTGAACATTCATAGAGAAATTCAAGTTTAAAAATCGGACTTCGAAATGTGGTTGAATGATTTCCATCTGTTTGCCAAGTTCAATATAAATTAAAGCCGGCCACCGGGGCTTTTAAATATTAGGACAATTGCTGGGAATCCAGAAAATTGTTTCAAATTATGTACTTGTTGGTTGAAATATTCTTTTAGGGTATTCGGACGTACGGTGTGAAAGTTTCGGGTACCATTTTTCACGATTCGGCCGAAACCATTAATTTAGCTAAATTTATTAAGACTCTACGAGAATACTTTTTTGTAGCATTCATAATTCATAAACCAATATTCTTGATAATTATTGTAATAAACAAAATAAAAAAAAAGTCAAATTACTCGAATAAACGAGCGTCTATCCGGCCCCTGTCTGTAGAATAACAATAATAAAATAGATCGTTTCTCATGGCCCTCACTATAAATATTGTACTTATAGCTAGGTGGAAATAGTCAAATATTAATTTTCTTGATCATGCATTGCAATTAAGAGAACGGATTTATATGCACTTGAAATGCGCAAAAAAACACACGAAAACTTTAAAAAAAAAAAAAAATCCCCGAACCTAGTGCTGAAAAAAGGAAAAACGATAGAGAGTATAAAACAAATTACATTACGCTAATCGTTTTTATAGAGTTAGAAAATTGTATTTCATAAGTTATAAGGAAGATTTTCAAAAAACGGGGTTTTCTCTTTTTTTTCAGTACTTTTATGACGTAATTACGAGCTTTTCTTTTGATTGGGGGGGGGAGATTCTAAGTGCATATAAATCCGTTCCCCCTAATATATTATAATAATTCTCACTGTTTCCTCGCTCACTCTCGTTCTCTGCGGTGCCGATGTTTATCTGCATACGATAATAACGCATGATAACAACGATAATAACACACATATAACACGATGTTATTGCTATCGTCTTCGTTTTTTCGCGCACATGCCGTCGCCACGCTGCTGCCGCCGTTGTTATCGTCTCGAGGGCGCGCGCGCCCGTCCGTCCCGTCGTACGAGTGATAATATTATTTATACCGTTTGCCGCCGTCCGGTCGGCCGTTCAGACAGTCGCTGTCGCCGCCGCCACCGCGCGTAGTCGCCTACCGTTTTTTCGTCCCGAATAGGATCCGCCTTCGCAACGCGACCAGTACCTCCGAGTTCTGAATTTCGAACTACCCGCCGTATCGTATTGCGCGTGTTGATCACTCGTAGGTCGTATTAAAATCATTGGCCGGCCGTCGTGACTTACCGAGGTTATCGTACGCCGTTGGTCGAGTGCCGGTGTCCGCGTCCGTGTCCGCGTCCGCGTCCGTGTCAGTGTCAGTGTCAGTGCCCGGTGTCAGTTTCCGCGTATGTGCGTCGCCTTTTGTCGTCCGGCGTGGTGAAACGTAAGTACCTACTCTGCCGACGTTGACGAGTCGTGTCCCGACAACGACCGAGGGCAGAAAAAACTATCCGACTACCGTACGCGAATTCGTGTCCCAAGAAAAAGGGCGCGATTATAGCGATTAGCTATAGTGCCTCGAAATTTAACCATAGCACCGTACAAAAAAAAAAAATTGAAATTTTGATCTAAATCACCTCTGTTTTTTGCTCATAAACATTGCGTTGTCCAAAAAAATAGTTCCCCCTTAAAAAAAAGTGTATATATTATTATCATTCCGACATGAATATAATTTAATTAACTTTTAATCATGTTAAAATCAATCGTGAAAAATAAAAAACTGAAAACTGTTCTGAGTTCGAAGTCAGAAATTTGGGAATGTAAGATGTATAGAATAATTTAATTTATATCTGTACACAACGAACAATCTCGATTGTTTGTTCGAAGCGAAATTCTCCATCCACACTATAGCAACATGTTTTGCTTTAAATTGAAATACGAATCAATTATACCGTATGTCACCCTAATGTTGTTCTAATGTGGATTAGACTTTACGCTCGACATTATTATTATTGTTTAATTTTTTTTGTTTTTAATCACTTATTACAACTTAAACTTAAAATTTTAATAATGACTATACAAAACTAAAAATCACCAACATTTTTAAAAATTTTACTACTTATAAAAAGGGCCAACACAAAAAAGTATTCTGTGAAAAATTCAGACCTTAACGGTTATATTTAATTAAATTAAAGAAAAAAAAAAACAAAATCGAAAATAACAGAAAATGCTATTTTGTGAATATTCTAGTTTTCCAACGAGTTTTCCTGGGGTTTTTCAATTATTAAGACAAATACGAAAAAAACAAAATTTGTGGTATATCAACTAAAAACAATTTTCTACCAGGAACTACCCCTAATAATGATGATTGGAGCAATATTTCGGGTAAAAAAGTTGTTTACAGACAGGAAAAATAAACACACATCGCAGTAAAATCAATATATTTCTCGCTCCGTTCATAATTCAAAACTTGTAACATACAAAAATTATTGGAAAGGTCGGTTAAAAGTATCGTATCAAGTGTACCGTATACACGAATTCTCCATATTACATTAAAAAACACAAACAAAAATGTCCGTGTTTCCTCGCAGAGGCATCAGTAATTCTTAAAACGTGCCAACTTGCACGCCGAGACGAATCTCTAAGTCCAATTCGACATTGAGATAAGGTTAACCTCAACGGACGGAAATTCTTTTTATCGTTTTTCTTTTTATTAAGCTGTCGAAATGTACACTCATTCCGATTTATGAACTTTGAATACCTTGGGTCGGATACAATTTACTCATTATTGATACTTACCCCTCCGCGCCTCCTTTTCCGTTTGACGAGTGACGAATAAAGCCGAACAACTTACGGTATAGCTGTCAAAAGAACCACTGTACTGTCGTTCAAAAGCCGTACGCGTTTTATTATTTTTTGATCGACTACTGTGTATGAAATGTAAAAAAAAAAATCGTGAAAATAAAAATATCGAGTAGATAAGTATAAGGTGAACTCGTGGCTATACAGATACACGGAGGTCGTGATTTTTCCGTTCATGAAAAATGCGTTTGTGATCCGCAACATCACCTCGCTTTATAAAATATATTTTATGCTTTTTATGAACTTACTCCTCTATGGGCTAACTCCCCACCATCAGTAAATCGTCGTAGTAAAAACACGAAATCTTAACCAAAAAAACTGGTCAAGTAATAAAATTGGTAGTGCTTTTTTTCGCTTCAAAGCCAAGGTAACCCAGAAATCAACAAAAATAATTCCGAAATAGTGTCGTCATTATATTTTGTTGTCAGTAATAGGAATCTAGAAAACAAGTTCGAATAAAAACTATCGTCGGGCGAAAATCTGTATTCGCTGAGATATACGGTGTGAAAGATTCAGAACCTTCTTGCTGACCAAAAAAGAGATAAAAAAAAAAACTCATCTATAAGGGGCGAACGATTGAGGGTTTCAAAAAACGCTCCCTCGAAAAATTCCATCTGGGAAAAATGAGTATTTTTCCGTAAATCTGTGTCATCTTTTGCTAATCTAACAATAACCGAACAAAGCTTAATAAAACTAGCAGCATTTTCGGTATACTCGGCGTCTAAAATGTATATAACGAGTTCAATCGTGTGGACCGTCGTCGGGAACAGCGTTGTAGGTTTTCGCGATCCAGTCGAGGTTTCACATTGACGAGCTCATCCGGACCGACTCGGGGGCGCGTCAATGTTTTTGAACCTACTTCTCCCGATGCCACCCCTTGTCGTCGGTAAAACTTTCCACTCGATTCGTTATGCACACTTACTGAATACAAAAGCGCCGCCGTTGTTTAATTTGTCAAGCTCGCGAGACTGGTTAAGTCTCTGCTACAGCATCAGACGATACGCGGGGATCATCGGTGTAATGATGAACACTATAGGAACATAAAATATATACTTATATATTATACTATAACATAAACTTTCAAACCGATACTTGACACATATAATTATTATAATAAATCGTGAGGATAGGCAATTTCCAACGTTTTTTTTTCCACTATTATAACATAATGCTTAAAATTCATCGTTTACAGTATTATCGAAACAAATCGCACTTTGCGGGGTTTCCGGAGAGCTCTTTCTTCGAGTGGAAAATAATAACACCTACATTATTTTTGTTATGTCTACGGCGCGTTTTGAGAGGGTGTTTCACTCAGAAGGTAACGCGAAACCATCCGGCCTTATCGATCAAAATGGGTTTTTCCAGGCAGAATCGGGGGGAAGGGGAGAGGTATACCTAGAGAGAAGCATACCAAGAAAGAGGTATAAGTTTGGTGAATATCGACGATTATTCTTGTTTTTTTAATACACTTTAGATGCGGCCGGACGACTTTCGAGATTGAAAATAAATTGCATTGGTCAAAGTTGCTGGAAATCAGCAATGTTTGAACGAAACACACCGTATTTTGTATTTCTACCGTACGACCGAATCACTTAAAACCTATATTATTGTTGTTTGTCAATCGCAAGAGTTCAAATTAATGAAACGGAAAATGAAATCGTAGCGTATAAGTGTGGTAACAAAAATACATTATATAGTATAATATGTATGTAGGCAAATCATAATATATATTTTATTTACTCGTCACGGTTATCTGCAGCTCTGGTTGTGTACCGTTTTATTATCTTTAGAGCTTTTTGATTTAGATTGCAGTCTGTAAATTGTATTATTATTTTGACGGTCAGCTGTTTATCCCCGCACGGTCATTGATTTTGCAATAACGATGATGTGCGGATTGCGGAACCGATGCTAACGTTAAGAAAATCGGGCGAAAAAAAAAATCGTTTTTCTTCGCAGTTTAATTAAAAACTGATAAATTATTCAATAAAAAAAAAAAAAAAAAAATAGCTAATACTGCTTGGGGTGTGTGATTGTTTTTGGAGGGGAGTTGAACGATATGGTACATAGAGTAATTTATTTTATATACCTATGTACTGATACATCATTACAAACGAAAAACTATCCCGAGTGTTATTAGTTGTATATATTTTTTCTTGTTGTCAAAGTAACCCTCAAATCAATGAAAATTATAAAATTAATAAATTACCAAGTTTTCCCATTTATTTATAGATTAATTATTGACCTTTGCATCAACTAGATCAAAAGTACTGCAATTAAGTCCCCTTGATGTCTTTGATAGGAATATATCTTGTAGGGAAGTTTTACTGATTAAAACAGTCACACACACACACACACACACATATTCGTACACAAAATATATCATAGTAAAATCATGCTCGCTTCGCCTAAAACTGAGTTGATGTTAGATTGAATTAACTAGGTCTAAATTGAGCCTTCATATTTGTTTAATTCATTTTTTTTTTTTTTGGTTCTGGGCAATGTAGAACACACCCCCCTCATCTCTCGTATTCATTAAGTAAACTTTTCGCAATATTTTTTAATACTAATTTTATTGTATCGCGGGGAGAAGAAAAAATAATAAAAGTCCCAAATGAAACGAAATGCAGCCATACAATTTTTGATAAAGTGTATTATGCTGTGATGTACAGGCGATCATAGTTTAAAAAACAAATCAGGAAAGGCACACGTAAATAATAATTGATAAGTAAGCACTCTATAATTAACACGTATAAGTTCTATTCGGATATTTTTCGTGGTTTTTATGAAAAAAATTGTGATATTGACCACTAGGTGCGTATTGGGGATAGTAGGATATATTATAAATATATGTAGTATATAATATAGATTTTAGATTATATTATACCAGTGTATATTATGTAGTTTTGTATGTATACTGTGTGTAAGGATATATTTTATTTATATTATATATATTTTCACTGGATATTAAAAAAAAAAAAAATTCTGAGTGGAGTAGTTTTTTTCCCCTTGTCGTGAAGGTAACTCGTGACATCAACAACAAATGCCCCATTCTTCCCAATTTTTAAAAAGACTACAAGGGTGATACAAATAATAAGCAATTTCACACGTGGGTGCAGCCACTACTGTAAGTGAGAAGTTGGAAAGGTAGTAGAGGGGAAATTTAATGGTATATCTGTAATCAATGATAAATCATTGCTAACGAAAAACGGTTCTGAGCAGAGTGCGGTTAATAATGTTCCTTTGTCAACAATATATTTACCAAATTATGGTAAAATAATTACATAGGCATTCTGTATTTTCTTTAATAATACTTGTTTAATATTTTTTATCTATTTTCCCGTTTTTCCTGCGGTTTTTTCATGTTTTTCCTGCAGTTTTCCCGTTTTTTTGGAAAACTAGTAAAAAAATTAAAAAATTACCTTTTTAAAGTACCTTTCCAGTCAGATTTCCTTTTAGATAAATTGTTATTATTATAAATCAGGGCCAAATTACTGGTGGAAAAGTTGTCCATAGAAAAAAAATAAAAAAAAAATAAACATCTTTGTAAAACCATAAGCTTCTATTCGCTCAACTCAAAATCTAAAAAACCCATCTTCTTCCAATGCACCAAATAAATTCAAAATTCTACGAGGATGCAATAATTGATTGGAATAATATTTATGGTAAAGTTATTAATAAATTGAAAAAAAAAACACATTGTATAAAAAAAAACCAATACATTCCTCGCGACGCTCAGAAACTAAAATGTATAGTTTTAAGTAATGGGATTTCAAACAAGCGATTCGTATTTTCATAACAATCTCAACCGACTGTAAGTAACAATGATGCCTGTCCACTTTTTTATTTTAATGAAATCAAAAAAATATATATTTAAATGTGCTATAGTAAATTAACGTTCATTCAAGAATAAAGTTTTGCAGTGCGTTAATTATTGATAATTATCATTTATTTTCGAACTTAATATATTATAATACTTAGTAAGTATACACACCACAATATTGTTATTATCATCAGCACTATTAGTTTTTGTTTTCTGGCGTATAGTTCATTACAAATTGCGACCCACTCAAAAACAGATAAGCCTCTATAGGTATAGTTCGATGAATATCAATATTTTTTTAGGAATTTTTTTAATATATTTTTTTTAAATTTTTTGTTATAAATAACATTAATTAAATTATTTTCGATTAAAAAGTTATTTATAAAAAAATAAAATAAAAAATGTTCCAAAATCTAAGTAGATTATGTTGAAATAATTGCTTTTTACACTACACCTAGCTGTAAACTCATCGCGATTATTTTTATTTACTATGATATATATTTACTTACGACGCCACCGTATTCATTCATATACTCAATTATTAATAGTTGTTAATATTAGAATAATAAATATTGAAATTTTTAATTAAAATGTTATTATCTACCTAACGTTGTAGCGTTACATTAAGTTTTAAATTTAGTTCAAATATAAATCAAAAACTTATATTGTTTTATACTAAGTAAGAAAAAAAAAGTTCATCAAAACCGTTTTATCGTATCCTGTACCACAGAATATTATCGAACTTTGCCGTCTTTAACAGATACTCCGTGGCGAGTTAAACATTTTGAAGGTCACGAATCACGATGTCTACAGAGCGATTCACTAATTATGAATAAACGATTTTCTTGGAGAATTTTAAACGAATTTCATTATTTCTTTATTTTTTTTTAATCATTATGGAATTATTTAAGCTTTATTTTAATTTCGTATTAATAATTTTTGTAATCTTCAATTTTAAACACAGATTGAAATAGTGACTATGCTTCTAATGACTTTGATATGAATAAAATTAATACAACATTTACCGTTTATGTTTTTGAGTTATAAGTTATAATTAAGCAAGGGTTATCAAACTATCACCTAAAATTAACATATAAATAATCACAAAATAATTCCTACTTTTCTAGTCTAAATGTTAAACTGTTATAAACGATGAATTGTATATATTATAGTGTTATATGTAATCAATTTTTTAGATAAATATTTTCTACTAAAATCTGTGTTTAAAGGAGAAGGAATGGGTTCCTATTTAAAAATCAAAAATGGTTTAAAAATGAAACTTAAATAATTCATAATGATTGAAAACATAAAAATCAAATTCACCAAGAATTCTCCAAGAAAATCGTTGGTTCGTGATAAGTGGATTGTTTTGTATTCATTTTTAAATTTTTAGTGTTTTGAAATAAAAGATTTACACTAACAAATGATTAAGGCTGGTTTATCATACGTCATTTAATTTAGGTGTTTAATGATTCGGACGCATGAAAAAAAAAACAACTTTGAAACAATATCGCTTTAAACGCCAAAACGATAATTCATTTGGACCTGAAGAATTTATAGCACTCCGACGATTTTTTTTACTAAAATAGAGGTGTAGGAAATTTATTTGTAGGAAGGTATTTGGGGTTTAACACCCATTTTGAAATAACTACAGGAAGTCGGTTAGTCATTTTTTAAAAATAATGAATTTCGCTCGGAAAAAACTTTTTGTGAAGTAAAAATGCTGAAAAACTGTTCCCATCTTAAAACATGTGAAGTCTTCACACGTTATTAAAAACATTTTTCTAAAAAAAAAAACTGATAAGGTTAACTAATACGATGAATGTATCAGTTTTATTTTTTGGTGATTTTTGGGTTACTACATGGCTATACGTATACAAAACTGAAAGAAAAACACGATAATCTATATTTTCACTCCGTTCAGAAACGTTTTTCCATTGCAATAGTTTGTACCATCGCTTTTAGTATATATAATATGAACTAAACAATATCCTTCTTTATCCAATATACTATCCGAACTTCCCACTCGCAATAATGGCCTGTTCTTGGCACGGAGTATGTATTTACGGCTTTGTTTTTTTTTCACTTTTATAATTTTATGGCGTATACGATGAAATCATTCGATAATTTCAATAAACTGTCGCAGACTGCTAATATTGTGTCTATGACCAAATTAGTTCCGTCGTGATCGTATAAAATGCGTATACGATAATGAGTTCAGCGTAAAGTGCTGGGGCGTCGGTTCAGGGACATCGGGATCATAAAAAAAACACGCTGCGAAAGTCATGTTGTAAAAAAAAAAAAATAAAAAAAAATAATAATAACAATAAAAATATATTAATATTGTATATCCGATCATATCGTCGACGGTTTATATTATATAATAAAAAGTAATAAATCACTGTGTACCTATACACCACACAAAACAAACACGGATCCGTCTAACAATGACGCCACGTATAAAAATGCATTTTTTTTTCATCATTAAACGGATTTTTTTTTATATCATCTGTGTTGCACGAGCGTGTTGCCAAACGAAAAATCGTCTCGAATCTCTGCGGTATTGGTTTCCCATAATGTACACGATGAATATGAGTGTTGGTTTTTTTCTAACTGTGAATAGCAGTAGCGGATTTAGTTCTCTACCTAGTGGTTCAATATTTTTAATATATAATATGTATAAATTATTGGAAAAAAAAATATTTACGTATACAGTTAAACAAAATGTCTAGGTGGGCTCCTATTTCCCCCCCCCTCCCCTTAAACGCTGATTCTGGTGAAAATGCTTTCGAGAGACTCGTGATCTTTAAAATTGAAAACATCAATGGAGGATTCTTGTATAAAGTTTCGAATCAGACACGTAACCAGGTTTTTTTTTCGACGGGAAGTCCAAACATAAAATTTATTATCAGCTACCAATTGTTTGCAGGGGAAAAGAAATAAAAACGTAATGGGTAGAAAATCAAAGTGCCATCTGTTTTTGAGGAGGGGTCCAGACCTCGTATACTCCCTTGGTTACGTACCTGTTTTGGATTTATTCGTTGCAACGGGAAGACGAATTTGTTTTAAATATTTCATGTTTTACCTAACAATTTCAATAAAAAATTTACGAAAACCGTCAAAAAAATGATTTTTTCCCTGTTGTACTCATTGCGAATTAATTACAAAAACCTAGAATTTTCAACCGAATTACTACTATGTAATATACGTGAACATTTTCTATGTTTCCCTTTTCGATTTAGTTTCGGCTGTTGTTAACAATTAATGAATTATTGTTTTCGATTTATGCTGATAACAATTTTTGGTCACGTCTCGAAATTTGATACGGTTTAATAGTATCTAGCCAAAGGAAAAACATATCCTATCAAGTCGAAATTTTGAAGAAAATTAATTTCTAGTTAAAAATTGCATAGATGGTATAATAATTTTAAAATTCAAATTTATTAAAAAAAAAATCAAATCTTTTTAATGAGGTTCGAACTGAGAATTATCAGTTTGTTTTTGTTTTAATTTATCGTATTAAATTCTGTACTGTACCCAAATTTGTTTTATTTTTGAATTTTCACACTTTTCGTTAACATATACTGGCGCGCGATAGTGTCGAGATCGTTCTCGTTATGAAAAGTGTAAAGTGAAATTTTAACTTTGCCGGTAAACTAAAATTTAATATTTTCAACGGCTTAAAAATCATTGACATTCTAAATTATTGTCTTCAAAAATCTGCGAAAAAGTAAATAATTTATGAACCTTAAATTATTAAATTTCAAGTTTAAAAAAAAACTTAAAAACGTCCAAAATTAAAATATTAATTGGTTAGTAACCTTAACTTAACATTAGACATTTAGTCAAAATACAACAACTCGTAATTGTCCGTACCTATATATCATTGTATATTCTAGACTTGAACGAAGACGACTCTTGGAAATATTTCACCGTAAAATAAAATCGTATTGGGTCTGTGTTGACACTGGGTTTCACTTTGTTCACGACGGTGACGATAATAATATAGTGAAATCAAATTTAGGTGGCTTTATGTATTATTATTACCACTGGGTAACCTCCCTAGTTATTAGATTCGTTGTTATTTATTATATTTCGTCATTTATCAAATCTGCTCATCGTACATGATTGTATGGATTGCAGATTTGTTTATTTAATAAAAAAAATAGAGGTAGGCATGCATACCTACATAATATACTATAATAAAAGACTTCTTTTGTCTCGTCTTGCCGTTATCGAGACGAGGGTCGCAGATATATACGCGAGCGGACGTTATTCGACTCTGACTTGAGAATAAAACTTTTGCGGCGACGATTCGTCGAGTGACAAAATCGCCGCGACCGGGTCGCCTAATCCATTTACGACGGGGTGGTTTTTTTTATTCTGTTTTTACACACGTACCGCTGGACTTTTCCATTATATTATTTTAATATACGATCGCGATTTAGATAGGTAGTAGGTACGTTTCCTGGGTTTCCCGTGTATATTACCTCCGAGGGACAGTATTTCCGACCCGCGTACAGATACCATTTGGGGGGAGGGGGAGGCGGTGGTTCAATCCGGTAAGCCAAAATTTAGTCAAACTTTTGTACTTACGTCGCCGCGGGCGTTATTAATCACTTGCAGGTATTAGAAAAAAAAAACAAAGAAAAAAAAAGTTATGAAAGTATTTTCTTGATGTTTATATTATAACATTATAATATTATGTACCTACCTATATTGTTATAATAGTGTCTACATAGATATTTGTTTTTATACATTATTCATTGGCCTTTTTCGAGGAAAAAATCAAAACTCGAAGGTCTTGTTATTATATTAACGCTAGATAATTTTTGACGAGGGCGTCACGAAAACGACATCCTATTTTGGTCAGCATTTTTTTGCCGACGAACTCTTAGGTAGTGCGGATTATATTCGACGGCCGTATAGGTGATATGGGTGAATCGATCTGTTTAAACGAGTGTTTATTTTACCGAAAATATCGTTTTAGGGGTCGAAAAAGAAAACAATCTCGGCTCTCGTTTCTACCGATGAGGCTCCGACGAACATTGGTTTGTTACTACGGGTGTGTGTGCCTATTTTATTTCGTCAAAATATCACGGAACAAATCGCTATCTATAGTGTTAAATTTAAAATTTAAATTTCGCGATTTCAGATTCTGAGTTTAGCAAAGAATAGCTATTAGTTTTACTTTTAATATGTTTTTTTTTTCTTTTGGAAAAGCACTTTTTTGGCAAGTAAAACATTCGGATTTTTTAAGCCGTACTTCAAAAGATGCAGATTTTTCAACTATTTCATTAAAGTGGTATTTTGTTCAAAATGTTGGTCTAGACTCCTGATGTTTTTCTAAACGGTTCAAAAAAACCGATAACAAACGACGATTTATCGGTTTTATTTTTAATGATTTTTAAGTTAATCTAAAGCTCCTCACAGAGTCGTTATTGAAAGCAATCATTTAGTTGTGCTTTGATTATATAAACTATATTGCCCAAAACAGAAGTGCGAAGTTGGCAAGTTTTGTTTTTTTTTCCAATAACGAACGTTTCCGACCAAAAGTATTTCTATACTTTTCATTTGCCGCCACCCAAACGGATATTATTCATTTTCAGGTAAAACTATATAATTTACACTCGCCTAAACGACCATTGTCCGGTTCGAGTGCCTATTTAGGTAAAAACGGACGAGACTATACATCATGATGTTGCTGTTCGTAACAATAAGTGCAACAATATTGCGTGTATATAGTAATCTACAGTCTACATGGATAAAACGTTCTGTATCCTTATACGTCCATATATTATAACACAAGAGCATATTATTTCATTTAAATGTATTATATGTGTCACTTAATATACCTAATAAAGGGTGATGGTGTTTTTTTTTCGAATGAACCATCGGTTGATTTCGGGAATTTTTGTTATGATCTTATGCATAAGGTTTTCAAAATGTTATCTATGTATTATTATATTCTGTCTATATATAAATACCGAGAAACTGCAAATGTTGAAAAAAAAAACTCAGGAAGAGTAGATAGATATGAAATATATTCACACTGGGATCAGGCACGGATCCAGAAAATACTTTTTATCTAATATCTAATAGAACAATCTCTAACAATGGTGGATAAATGGTTAGAGATAAAATCCAAACATATCCTTTCATTCAATGTTCCATCATAAAAATAGAGGCCTATTATGGAATTTTCAACTAATCCATGCCATACATTTGTTGGATGAGGACATATGGACCGATAGCTTGGCCAATGCATTCATCAGATATGACGCCTCTAGATTTTTTTCTTTGGGGATATTTAAAAACTGTAGTTTATGCTTACCTGCCGTTTAGTCTCCAGAAATTCAAACAAAAAAATTACTGAAGTATGATGCGCACAACTGAGAAACAAACAAATTATGGCAGCTACGCAAGATGAAGTCATACGATGTTCAGAAGCGTGTTTACAACATAATGGATAAAACTTCGAACAATTTATTAGATAATGATGACTAATGAGTATTTTTTGTAATAAATTTTTCAAAATCAAACTAGTTTAATAATAATAAAATAATCTTGTTTCAACTTTAACTAGCTGTATTTCGGCTAATTTTCGAGAAAAGGGAAAAGTCCACTAGTATAAGTTGCTTGAAAAAAAAATAAAATGGTTTATCCATATCAAGTGTTGGAAGCAGGTATTTCCATTTAAAAGAATACAAGTGTTGTTGCGCATGTGAACATTGAAATGGGAACAAATTTCAAAATCCATATAAAATGTGTATTTCAATATTTTCTATCTTCTCTTGAAAACCCCATTTCAATCCGAGGTCACTGGATAGAAATATTTCGTGTTTTCCATTTGAATGAAACGTATTATGTATTAAAATTCATTCTCTCTATATTTCATTTATTAATATTAAAAATTAAAAAATAACAAATTATTATAAAATAAAATACAACAAAAGCTACAATGATGGTACAAACATTACTGATTCAATATAGCGTTAGAGCATAACACAAATATATAATAATGGTTTGATATCTTATCTTGAATAGTTGTTTTGACAAATATCGATATTATTTAGAATTTCGGATATGCATAAATATAAGGAGGTACATAAATATAATATAGCAAATCATTTTTGTTATCGCAATAATAATACTCAATGTCGGCTCGTCGTGTCAGTCCCGTTCACGCTGCACACATTTAGGTGCACTCCTGCGGAATAAACGGCATGGAAGAGTGTTATGCCTATCGAGAATTTTAGAAGAACATTTTCTTTTCGACTATGCGTTTGAAATTTGAAAAATCAAAAGTGACGTAGGTTAGGTTAAACACATAATATATGTACATGTGTATTATAATGATTTAGTAAAACGAAAACTTACTCAATATAATTGTAGATTATCACGAATTATCCTGTATCAGTACCAAAATTTCAATATTTGTGTGTGCTAATATTTAGAATGTAATTAATTACTATAATATGCAACAATTCGTGTGAATACTGCCGAATCCGGTATTAATTTTGCCTAGACGACATATAAACAAAAACACACGAGGTGGTAGGAGAAATGTTTCCACGGCAAGTGAAAAGTATTCGAAATTTTTACGGTGTATATTCTAAAATCGTGCTATACGCCATTAAAATGTATAAACGTTTCGTTCGTCAAGAAATTGAATGTTAATAGTCTTAAAGTCGCGAAAATATGAGTTATTAATTAGTAAGTTTGTCGGAACGTTGTATTAATACATCGGATTGCGCTGTCACGAAAAAAGTTTTTTGAGGAGAACATTAACCGGCCACTTTATCACTACTCGTTACGTATCCATTTTATTCATAACCGTGATTGCATCGCAGAATAGACGGTACTTACGCACCGTTTCTTCCCAAATCGGTGGCACACGCACGCGTACTGATCACACGTAATTTTTCTGCGCGCTTGTTCGTCTGGAGTCGCGATAAATATAATTATACAAGTATTTTTCTTGTAAGTTTTAAGAGCGCTATTACGAACCCCGTGCTACGGAACCAGAGACGCATGTTATTAAAAAAAAAAAAAAAAAAAAAATTGTAATTTACAGTTCTCTTCCAATATTAGATATTCCGTGACGACGAGGTACGCGATGATGAATTATTAAATCGCATTCCTTTTCTCTGCCATATAATAATAATTATTACGACCAGTGTGCAGTATTGGTATCTACGAATAGAAGTTTTCTTTATTTCCGGGAACGTGCACCGACCGAACCAACTGGAAATAAAATCCGATCGTTATATTAATTAGGACACGGTGTTTCGGTCAGAAATGTTGCGCAGAAAACGAAACAAAATTAACGAAAAAAAAAAAACCTTCGAAACTTTTGAAAATATTATAAAATTCAAGTTCAACGAATCACACCCGAAACAAAATGGTAGGGGATAGTATTAATTTTTAAACAAATCGCATAACGTGGTTTCTCTTATAATTTTATCACGAAACGTTTGTGTCCTGTATTGATCCCAGATCAATAGATGAGTATTATTTTTCGGAAGGAACTCGAAAATATTAAAATATATGTATTTTCCAATTATGCTCGTGTTATGATTTTTTTTGAATTTCCGTGCTATTTCGCAAATTATTTTTTGTACTCATACATAATTTCAATTTTTTTTTAGGGATATTTAACTTAAATAATAACACACAGTAATTTTGATCAATATTCAATAGGAAATTTACATTTTCAATTATTTTCTATCAAATTTTATTTGTATGTACTATTTAAACTCGGCGAAATCAGAAATGTCAAAACTATCAAGATCAGAATATTTCACCAAGGGTTGTTTTATTGGAAAACTTCGTGAATTGTGTATAATATATTGCATTTTAACGATTAATCAAATTATTAACACACAATTGCATACATTTCGAAATTTGAATGACGAGACCGAAGTTGTTATAAAAAAGGACGTGATAGAATTACTTGGAGGCGGTTGGAACTGGAAAGACAAAGCAATCCATAAAGAGAAGTTGATTATAGGATTAGCTGTGTGACGTCCCAGCCTTTAGAGGCCTGGAAACCAATAAGGAGATGGCGATAAATGATTTCAAAATTTGAAACTTACGAGCAAATATAATCAAGTTAAAATAATATCATTAATATCTCTACGTCTACGCGATATAATTTAAATTGCACAACTCTGCGGGAATATGTATTAATTAAAATCATAATTTTATCAGAATCATTAGTTTATTAATCAGAAACTATTATAAATTAATCACCATGTAGGTATTAGGTACTTATCAATAAGGCTGTTCATTAAAAATTAAAAATGTTAGTAGTTAAATTAAAATACAAGTTCATTTTAAACATAGAACTCATCATTTGATTTTTTCATTGACTTGACTTTTAGCTATTTTTTAAAAAAATAACGAGTTAGATTTGAATTGTATCTTTTTTCAATTGTTTTAATTTATACAATATTAAATTTACGATTCTGAGTTGAGTTCAGTTGATAACATTGCTTTGTCAATTATTTTGTTATGCCATTTATTATGGTAAAATGATTAAAACAATATTTTCTATGACAACAATGATCATTTTAAAAACATTAAAATAATAAAAAACTTAATAATAATAAAAAATAAATAAAAACGGTCGCCAATGAAAACTTTATTTTTAATCTTTCAATTTTTTTTTACCTAAAGACCGAGGTTTTCCTCATTATCTCGAATATTACTGAGAATTTCAAAAAATGATCTCTCTACCCAGAGAAAATTTTCTCTCAGAAAAGATGCTATACTTGATAATCGGAGTATGCTTTCTGGTAGAAAATGTGTTCACATAAAAAAAAAAAAAACATTGTAAAACCAATGCATTCCACGTTCCATTCATAATCTAAAAAAATGAAAAACTCGGATTTAATCATTTTTACTTTGAAAAAACCTACATATTGCAGAAAAAAATGATTTACTTAAGGTAAACACTTCATTAAATTTTCCTAACAAACTTTCAACTTTGTTAATTTATACAACAATCGAGTTTTTCAATATTAACTTAATTGTTCAGTCTAGCCTATTAATTATTAGTAATAGTGTTGTACCGATTTATACTGTAACACTTTATATACTGATTAACTAGCTTTGAATTATTTATACATGCATACATATCGCCCGATCTTCATTATAAACAATAATATTATAATATCGACTCTAAAATATTGATTTTATATCGTTTCTTATTTTGAGAATGATATTTTTCTCTTTTGACCTCGATTTCGTATAGAGGTTTTTATAATAGTTTTTGACTTACGACTTACGAGTGACGTGCAATATGCGTAGGTAGGTACTTCTCAAAATCATTTTTACACATTTCAGGTTTGAAGTGTATCACTTACAATAATATGTATAATATATATTTATTTGTCAAAATTATACTTTACTGCTGAAATAAACTACAATAAACTATGGTAAAACTTTTCCGTATGCATAATATTAAAAAAAAAAATATATAAGATTATTGTTATAGACCCAAAGAAAGGTAGGGAATTAATAACAATTTTAGTGATACCTAAATTCGTTCATTTTTTTTAAAAACGCAGAAATTTATTTGCGCATTTGTATCTTAGTAGTGTGATAAAAGCTCAAAAATACATTTTATTACCAGATAAAATGTTGTACACGTTTCACTACAATAAGTTTCAGATTGAAATTTGACGTTCATTATATTTAATTACTAACTATGAACGACTGTACGCTCATACTATTTTTCTATTTCAAAAACAACAGGGTTCTAGTTCATTCGAAGTTTAGTTTTATTGCATAGATTGTATCGTAACAAATTACGATAATCGACGCGGTTGATCATTTAAGATAACTATACAGTATACAGTATAATAATTAAAATTTATAAAAATTGAAAATTCTGTGAATGGGATTTTTTATAATTATAAGTTCATAGCTATAGCTCATTATTTGATTTTATCAGCCATTTAATTTTTAATTGTAGCAATTTGAGTGAAATGTTTTGAATCGTATACCAGATAATATCCATCTGTATATCAGTTAATGTTGGCGCTATAATAGTGTGCGTATATGTTCGGTTTTCACTAAAATCAAAATTATAAGCATTCAAAAAGTAACTATTAAAATGTCATGTACACTAATTTATACAAAAAATGTGTCCAGTGTATTGTGTTATGGCAAACAGAGATGCATCTTGGTGATGTACGATACCACAATTTACTTCGACTATTCAAACTAATTCTAAAATATCCAAAATGTTGTTAGGAAATGAAAATATATATTTTCATATTCATAATACTGTGAAAATATCGTGAATTTTAGTGACGAATAGTTTGTAATAATTGTAAACGAAAGACGATTGAATGTATTTCGAAGTGACCAAACGAAACGATATTATTTAAAAAATTGTTTACGATTTTGGGATGTATATTTTTGCGCTTTTTGGTAGCGTTTGGGTCGTATTTTATGCTCATGGGCTGTAGTCAAAATTACCTAAATTTATCATGCGTATACAATACAAGTAAATACATTCACCTTATTGAAAAATATTATTCAGTTTAAGAGGCTATTTGTACGATAAAATATTGAGGCGTATAATCAGTGATAACAGCCGACCAATAGAAAATACTACCGCGTAAATAAAATAACACCCGGAAAAGTACTATATTGTTCGTATAACTTTTTACCGGTGTCCCATTGTGAGTTTTTTTTGGTTTTGTAGAAAGAGGTCGACACGATACTAATTTGCGGTTTATCCATTACGCAGCTGAGTACATACATAATATATACACGTGTTTATGCTGAGTAGGTTTTTTTTTTTTTAACGTTAATCGCGTTGAACAGTTTCGACTTTTGTCATGGCAAACAATATAATACAAAAACTTACTACGCGATTTCGTTCCGACATAACGATCAAAGAAAACGTAACAAATGTTGTAGGGAAACTGGTATATTTTACGAAACGTCGACTATAATATTGTGCGTTGTACGTATATTTGCGGAACTCTGTACGAAACTTTGAGATTTACGAAATTTCATTGTATTATATAAATAATATTGCAGTAACTGCGATGATCAAATTAATTTATTTAGTTATTTCTTTAAAATATAACTGAAAAACTATTATTTAGATGAACGTATTTTTTATCTGGAAAGATAAAAAAGATACATAATATATTTTTATCTAAGTTGTGACACACAGTTAAAGGTGAATAAGAAAATGTATCGATTTTCTAAACTTAAATAACTCAAAATCAATTATTTATTGTAAATATTTAGTTTAACATTTTCTTCTATATTAATTCGTTTGGTTAAAAAGTTAAAATTAAATTTGGTTACTTTTATCCGGTCTATAGATTAATTAATTTGTTTATATTCGATCTTGTTCTCATTAAGTAGAGTATAAATTTAACTTAATTTCAATATAAAACTATTTAAATTGAATTAATTAAATTGATATGCTACTGAAGTATAACAATAAACTGCCAGAATTAAATATACTTTGAATAAACTTAGTTTAAAACAATGATTTATTTATCAACATATATTCAATATTACGAAAAATTATCTAGTTAAGTAATATATGTATGTAGGATATATATTTATATAAATTTAATTGTTTATTCAGATTAGATAAAATAATTGTTAACTAGATAAATCAGAACGCTAATTACGGTTATCGAATAAATAATATCTTAAAATATAATTTCGTTATAATAGACATCGAAATTTTCTCACGAGATTGGCAAAATTTATCATTTTCGGGAAATACAATTACATAAAAAGCTGAAGAAAAAAAATACAGGCAACAAAAATTAGGTTAAGTTTACTAATAAAATATATACTTTTCGCCTATAAAATAGACAATAAAAACGTAGTGGGTGATAAATTTAATGTTGGCAAACGGTTTTCAAACTATACGGATGTTCTTACATAGATAACAATTATTGTAGTTTTGTTAATTACAGTTCGTTTAAATCATAATAATTACCTATAAAACTGCATAAAAGAAAATTCCTCTGGACCATGTCGTTAAATCACTGCATGCGATGCAATCAAAAACTATTGAAATTTCTTTTAGATTATAACACAAACTGATTTTTCAACACGACTTTTTTTTTCCGGTTAGTATTTGTTAGGATTATATATCGTAATAATATTATTATTATAACATATCCCGCTAATATTATAAATGCGAACGTTTGTTTGGACGGATGGATTTGTGTTGCCCCTACACGCCAAAACTACTGAACGGATTGATTTAAAACTTTACATAAATGTTGTTCTAAACCAGGAATACTATATAAGCTACTTTCCCTCCACTAAAAATTAAATTTCTAAAAGGGCGTTGACACGGGTTTGTTGGCATTTTCGGTACGAAAATCGAATTATTTTTGTTGATTTACGGGTTACCTGGTGTTACGGATGAAATAAAAAAATAAAGTTAAAACAATCCAAACAAAAAAAAAATAAATTTAATTAAATATTATTTCTTTTGGCACGGGCAAGGTGCGCGGAACAGCCAGTATATTGTACAACAAATATATTATTTGAATAGGATTTTTTTTGTCCGTGATGTGGAAATCGAATTTTATACCAACTATCGTCTATATTTATCAATTAACATACAGGAAATAAGTTGTATACCACGTATACGTTTAATACCTATTAAGTTCCAGTTGTGAACTTATAATATTATACAATCCACATTTATACAGATATACACACCTGAATGACTTAATCGGTAGATAACTACAGGCACGACGAGGGAAAATAGCCGAGGAAAAGCGTCCGGTCTAGGTTTTGGGCAGTTATAATAAGTGGCCGGCATCGGTCTAGAAAATAAACGCAACATACGTAACAGGTTCAGATAAATCACTAACGCAAACTACAAAACGGGCAATTATTGTATTATATAAATCTATATATATAAATATGCATATATCTGTGTATAGTGATACACTCGTATACGGAATTAATTTAATTCCGTCACAAATATAAATGGCCGTACAGTAATTATTAATTATTAACTATTTATAGGCGTTTAAAACGCAATAAAAATCGCCTATCCAAATCGAGTTAAACATACGAGCCATTAATTATTTAAACCGTTCTGACCTAATTAATATCTATAAGTATAGCTCTTGTATAACGCAAAATACACTTTAGAACCGTGATCGTTGTTATTTATACCCACTGAAAGACGTTAATATTATTAAAATGGGTACCTAATGGGGAAGGTTACCTAGGGCGTAAATATTGGAAAATATTTCGTCCGAAAGTATTTTGTCGGAGAACTTTTTTTTCGGAAAAAATAATTAGTCGAAAACTACTTTCTAACGATTTATTTATCCGAAAAAATACAGTGCCAATAAAATACTTTCCAATAAATTATAGCCCTCCATCTATATTAGTACGACTTTTGTACAGCGACTACTGGCGTGCGCAGTGGTAAGACATTAGGGGTTATATCTCCTCTTATCAATCGCTTGAAAATACAAAATCTACGAGCAATAATTATTTGGTAATTTTCTTTTAATAATATTATAATATAATATTAAAGTCAAGGTATTTCAAGAAATAAAGGTTGTTTTATTAAATAAATGTCGAATTTTTAAATCTTCATTGCAACTCATAGAAGAAGTAAATGTTACCATTTACTTACATATCATGATTATTATTTACTACTTACGTTCCCACGCATTCAACATTTCTGGGCACTCCATTTTTCGAGTATCATAATATTATAATGTCTGTATCGGGCTTCAATTGTTGCAGAGATTTCTTACTCAATGACGAGAAATCCCGAAAATATAACTTTAGTTAATGGATTTTACAGACGGTATCTTAATTTTCAAATGATCTATTAACTACTGACTGGATAGGTACTAGTATAGTCACATATTTTATCGTTGTACGTGCTCAGTTCATATTTTATATTCCGAGCGTAGTTATTACTGAATAATAGGGGAGATTGGATCTACGATCTACCGAAATTTTCACTGAATATATTTTGTCGTTTTTCTAGAATAATTGGTAGGGTAGAACAATTAATATTCAATAATAATCACAATCGCCGCATGATAATTTCTTATCGCAACAGTAGTTAATTGGATATCGTTTTCACACTTTTTTCTAGAAATAAAAACGGCTTCTATTAAGAAACTATTCATCGGATATGAATGTGTGATACATTAAAGCGTTTAGAACAATATCTTTTAAAAAATGGCTATTTTGAAAATGTTGTAAAGTTAATAAATAAAGAGTTCTTTAAAGAGGTCTTTTTTTTGATTACCCCAATAAATTCGAAAAACCGAGAAAAACGTAGAAAAAACGGGAAAATAGCTGGTACAATAATAAAAAAATATCTTTAAAGAGAATGTTTAATGCATATGCAATTATTTTACCATAATACGACATGTATAATATATATTGTTGACAAAACAATATTTTGTTAAGTAATGGAATATAATAGGTATTTATTTTTTTATAGATTGAAGCGTCATATTTAAAGTTCCTCAATATTTTTAGATTAACTCTGAAAATATATTTTTTGAGTTGTGTTAGTTGTATAATAAAAGAGAAATATAAAAATGTCCACAATGAATATATTTTGTTAACATTTTTACTTTTGATGTTTTCCTATTTATTTACTAACATTTTCTTTAAGTACCTAGTGTAATAATATTTTGTACTATGAATTTTTGCAAAGTTGGAAGTTTTGGCGCTGTCTTGAAAGCTTTGTCGCCGTTGTTAATTTTACGTTTTGTTTTATAATATACTTTATACTCGGTAGATACCAAACAAATTTATATAAAAGCTTGTTTTTCGTTTACTTCGGGAACGCAGATTTTTATTATTTTTCTGTAAATTCTCTCAAAATAGAAACTTTTAGACAAGGTAGATTAAATATTGCGCTCAATGATTATACCCAAAACATTTCTCAATAATGTTTTCTTTACAAACACACAAGACCCGTTTAGATATTGAAATACTAAAATATGTAAAGTGATTACATAATCATTGTAATTTTTTTTCTTTTACAGATTTTATTTGAATATCAAAGAGAATAAACAGATTGTAATCATAGGAAATTTGATGCAGCCAAGCGGTTCAAACGTAAGTACTAAGTATTAGATGACAGTGTATAAAACCATTTAACCGTCTAAATAATAGTAAAAGAGTTGGGTAGATTTAGTGAAGACTCAGATATAATGATGGGAAATAATATTGCCTGCAAAGAATGTGCATTAGATCTCAAAACGTTGCAGTTAAGCTAGAGATTTTTCTGAATACTATCGAAAGTACAATAGTTGAAATTTCCAGATTAATATTATTGCAGTAATTGAAATTCGTAATTTTGTAGTTTGTATTTTTTATAGTTTTATGTTACGTCCATTTTACTTTGAGTATGCAAAATGAATAATATGTACTACAAAATGGCGTGTAGAATTAAAATAATTTTTAATAACCACTATGAACTAATGCAGATTTTAATTTTATTGCTTTAAACAATATATTGTACACCTAAACAGAGTGTCTCATGAAGATTATAATTATTACGATACCTTGGGAAACGTCATCTTTTTCATAACTTTTTTTTTATAATTTTTGTAAAAAATTGCTCTAAAATTCTAAATTACTATTATTATTTTTCTCCTTTCTTTTTAGGACGTGAATTCCAACTTTTAAATTTTAAACGGTAACCTGTATTAAAATTATCATAAATAGATGGAGTATTAGTCTAAATTCATTGTGGTGTATACATTTTTGATTTCGTTTGATCTCATTGTTGAGATATTTTACTTTTTAGTTTGGGTAGGGATGAGTCATCATTTGTATGGCACAGTGCACGGCATTTAAATAGTACTCCACTGAGTCGTTTCCGATTAATTTAATCTTCTAAATGTTTGCTCCCTGTCTTAAATCTTTTCAGTTATTTGTTACTCGGTCTATCTATTGGATGTTTTTATTGTTTTTTCATTTTTAAGTTTATCGCTAATCAGTATTCGCGATACTATAATTTATATTCAGTGCATCATATGTCAATTAAAATTGTCAAATTTTTGTATATAAGGTTCGTTGTACATTGCCTTTTAAAATCCACGTTCATAATTTACTCATATTCTCCAGGTAATTTCATATATTTTTCTAAGTATAATTATCCTTTCGAAAATCATTAATTTAATAAAATGTAGGTAAGTATATTCTAGGATGTCTAAAAAGAAGAAGATTTAAACATCGAATTGTGTAGTTCTCGTCCTCGTTGCCTGATATCCTTAGTTGTCCGCACTTATTATTAGTTAAATTTCATACTTTAAACATGCAATTTATATTGACGTTCAATTATGTATTTGAATTTCTCAACTTGTTTTAGATTAATCGTAGTAATTTGGTATGTAAATACAAATACTAACGACAATTGGAACATTCCAGACATGAAAAAAAAAAAAAATTGAAAAACTATCCGCTTCACAAAGTTATTCTTATTGTGTTTTAGAAAAACTAATTTTTTTTTTTATGAAGTGTACAAAACTACGATTTCATTAAATGGACGTGAAATGTTATCCAGTCCGTTTTTTTGATTCAGAATAAATATTATACTAAAAATTCGAAATTCTTTGAAAATTTAACCCTATTTTCTAAGGCGAGGTATCGCACCAACCGGGTAAAAATATTGGATTATACGTTATTATTTTTTTCTTTCTACTTTCTATAGCATGTACCCGTTCCATTTGTGTACGGAATGACCACAGAACATTAGTTATATGTTGTATCTAATGAATTAAATTCCAAAAACATTCGGTTTTAAAATCGCACACTCGACGTTACCACCGAATTACGAGACCATCCGAATTAATAACACAAGAGACATTAACAATAAATACAACAGTCGTGGCGTCCATTGTAGAAATTATTGCCTGGTCGTTTGCAGATAGTGAGTACGGCACAGGGATTTTTCAAAAGTTGCCCTCGTTATCTTTATAATATAATACATTTATTACATTTTGCAATGGTGATTTAGAATATAGTATGATGAGAAATATTAAGGCACCCTAGCCCGAGAAATTGAAAACAAACTTAAAATTATTCATTAAAAAGTGCCCGATGCTGGTTTTACAAATTTTGTTATCATTTTTTTTTTTCTAACAAAAAAATAATTCTCGAAATCTTACCATATTATGACGTATGAGGATTTTTCCTGCAAGACATGGTTATGTGCTAAAACATATCCTGGGACTTTGATTTTGAAATGTGTATTTTAATATTCGTTTTTTTCGTTAACACGACCTTAGGACTTAAATCGTCGAAAAAATTGCCCCAATTGAAAAACATATAATTTGTGGACGCAATGCTCCCGGAGCCAAATTATTCCATAGCTAACATATTTTCATCGAATGTATTTCATTTAATTTTTTTTTAGTAAATTTGTGTTTAATTATATTTGTATTCACTAAAACTCTAATACTACATTTACTGTACCTTACTACATTTATACACCACTTTTTTTCTATTATTAAAATTACAAAAAGTATCCTATTCCTTTTCGTTGCCAAAAGGAACAAAAATATTTCTCATAAAGTAGTAAAGGGGTTCTCGAGATTTAGGTCAACATACACTCATAAAAAATAATGAGTTAAGGAATCAATAAAATAATGTTTGGATATATCTTGTTATTGCACCATAATTAAATACCATACATGATATCTAATAACTAATAGCATATTAATTCTGATTATTTTTATAAAATATTTATTTATAACTTTTGACCATCATTTAAAAATAATACACAAGGCAATAAAAATACATTATAACGTGTTTTTAACTAAAACATAATAATATACAATGAAACTTAACGAACAAATTAAAATACTTAAGTTAAAAAAATAAATATATTATACTGTCAGTCATTGAATAGATAATCCAGAAGGTAGGTTTTGTTAATATTATGTGAAATATAAAAAACAATAATGAAAATATACAATTTTTATAATTACTTCAACTTAATAGTAAATTGAATGAACGATGTCAAAGTGTTCACTATCAAAGCGATAAATTATGATAAGCAATATTTATAAATAAACACGCTTCTTTACAGTGCTACCAGTATTTGGAGTAATAACCAGACTAGTCTAGATATACCTTGTTGTTGCACTAAAAAAACAACGAAACAAGACCATTTGTGTTACAATAATTATTCCGTAAATAATGGTCGAACGTGTCAGATTGTTGCACCAATCGATGAGTTATTCTTTTTTAATTATCAGATTCGATGAAAAAAAGATTTTTCCCAAAACTTGGACATGTCTTGTTGTTACCTTTAGAACAAATATTTGTTTGCTTTCCAAAAAAAAAAAAAAAAAATTGATTATCGGATATCGGAAAAAATGCATATCGACTCACCACTATTTAAATGTTTTGTGCAAAACAAGGGTCATAATAATAGTCCATTGTGGACGTACATCACATCAGTTCTAAACATTTAAAATTTTCAAAATTTGTCTACACAGTTCTTTAGTAGGTATGCAATTTGTATGAATTTTTTTTGTTGTCATTTTATTAGAAAAAAAAAAAAGACGTGCTAGGATAATAGGGATGGGTGCAGTCACTGTTATACGTAATTTAATGTTACCTATAAGCAACGATAAACCATTGCTTATGAAAAACGATTTTAAGCGGATTTCAGTTGATAGTGATGATTTGTCAATAATATACATATCATATTATAGTAAAATAATCAAACACGCTTTGTATAATTTCTTTAATAATATTAGTTTAATATTGTACCGATTTTCTGGTTTTTCTATGTATTTTCCCGGTTTTTCACATTTGCTGGAAAAACTCTTGAGAAAATCGAAAAATGACCTCCTCATAGTACGATCTTATACTGATTTTCTTTTTGAAAAGGTATAACACATAAAAATTAAAGTGAGATCTCTGGCAGAAAAGTTGTTCACAGAACAAAAAAAAAAAAATAAAAAAAAAAAAACATCTTTATAAAACCATAATGTTCTTTGCTTCACTCACAATTGAAGAAAAATGGGAAAATGTACGAAATTAGCTAAAATATGATGACCTTCTTTTTCCTGTGGACAACTTTTCTACCAGCAATTTTGCTTCAACTTATAATGATAGTATATTTTCTAAAAGACAATTTTACTGAGGAGGTACTTTAAAGAGGCCACTTTTCGATTTTCTCAAGAGTTTTTCCAGCAAATATTTAAAGACAGAAAAAAAACCACCAGAAAAAACGTAGGAAAAACGGGAAAAGCGGTACAGTAAATAACTATTATTAAAGGTAATACATAATGCCTATTCTATTATTTTAATATAAAATGATATGTATATATTGTTGACAAAGTATCACTATCAACCGAACTCCGCTCAGAATCATTTTTTCGTTAACAATGGTTAATCGTTGATGTACCTATTAAAATACCTATAACAGTGGCTGCACCCGTTCCCATTATATTAGGACGTCTTATTAAAATGTATACGATCTCGTAGTCAGTATTATGACATCGCACAATTCATAAAGTTAATACTGATAATAGTAAATATAGAGTGGCACATTGCAATTTGGAACTGATTAACTCCCACCTAATATTTTTTTAGTTGGTGACCGTCGAATAGAACCCCTAATGTGCATCACTAGGCTAAACTAAAAACTCTGAAAATATCAGTGACTATTAATGTAAAAGTATCATAATAACCTTAAAGGATATTCTTCAATTTGGAAACTTTTATTTTCCGCTCGCTTCTTATCGATTCATCTTAAATAGAGCATTGGTATTACATTTTATTCTCTTATATAAGTTTAACTATTAGCTTCATTCCAATACCACCAAAGTTATAGGCCAACATTCATAAACATTTTATACGAATACGATATTTTGCTAAACACTAAAATACCCATGTCACCCATCTTGTCTATCAGTATATCCAGGTATTAATAAGCATTAAGCACGGATATATCATTTTTTTGTCAGGTACTCGTAGTATTTCCAAATTAGAAATTTAGGCTTGGTGACCTTAGAAATTTCATTTAAGTATCTAGTACCTACCTAGTAAAATAAACTGATACTAAAACTCTATTACAATCCACAGTGAAAATGTTAAATATAAGTGGCCATTGCTCTTTCGAAGTTTAGACTTTTAGCTGTCGTGAAAACGCACATTTGTTAAAAAAAAGCAATTAATTTTGACTGAGTTCTACTCAGAATCGTTTAGAAAATTTGAAATGCAAAATCTATAAGAATCTCAAAAGTTCAAAAATGCTAAACGGTGAATTTTTTTAAGTTTACATTTTTTTTCTCTAAGAAAATACAAGCATCTTAGCTCTGATTTTGTACTCATTTGATTAAGTAACTTGTAATCTGTATACATATGTTTATATTGATCCTTAACTTTTACAGGTTAATTCATAAAATGTTATGAAAATAAAAAAATTGTTACAAACATACCCCATGCTAGTGTAACAGGCCAATTTTACCTCCTCGTAATTTTTACATCGGGTCAATTATAGCTGGGGCAAATGTTACACATATAAAATGTATTAATTAAACTTATATTCTTTATAACAGCACATAACAAAATAAATAGTAACTGTGGTAGAACATATTTATCAAAAGAACATTTCAAAGATATTAAATAACCTTCATTACTTTTTCTCCAGTCAAATTGTGACAATTATCCCCAATTAATATTTTTGTAAGGAAGTAAATATAAAAAAAAACGCTTACTTCTCAGAGGTCTGACATGACGGTTAAGTTAAACTAGACTACTTGCTCAATAAATCCACAATAATAACCAAAAAAAGTAACGTCTCCGAGTATTGAAATACCAAATGATGATAAAAGATTTCATTTACAACTGGAAGTGATAAACGTATTTTATTTTTTTCCTGATAAAGAGAATTTGATATCCCAAATTGATAAATGGAAAATAATTTTAATATGGCCTCCCCTACTAAAATATTGCGTAAAGGAAATATCGAAAACAACGTAATTTCTATCCAGGGTGTGATTGAGGTGAAGATATTTTATTTGAACCCACAAATGCAATGGAACAATAATCGTACACATTTTGAAATAGTCAATTAAATTTATACAATATGTTCAGTAATAAAATATGGTTTAGCTAAACCCATGCATATATCATTTTTAACTAAGGCTGAAACTGAAATCACTCTGATTTCATTTACTGTTTTTTTGCAATAACTTGATAATCAAAATTGTATAAATCACATGCTAAATATCTGTGTAGACAATTTTTAAAAATTGTAAATGTGTGGGGCTGAGGTAATATATGCCAATAATGGGTTTTTTTTTTCAAATTTTCCTTATGTACATTAATACATGTGGTTGCACTCGCTTCGTCGTCCCATCAAAAAATCTCGTCACTGTTTTGGCTAAGTCGTTATGTTTTTCCCAAATTTTGCCTCTCTTAATATATGAGACGTAATGAACGAAACTACGAGAATAAGCCACAACGCCATAGAAGATGTAACTAGAAATAAATAAATACGTAACTACCTACATATTTTTTAAAAATGCCTCAATATTAAAATTCTCAATATTTCCCAAATTAATAACACGATATTATACCATAAATAATATATAGTAATAGTTACCTTGAGTTGTTAATTTTACATGTTTGTGGGAAATCCGTTAGTGCAAATTCCTCATTATTGAAAAAGTCAGTTTCAATGAACAAATGTTTATTGAGTGTTCTTCTTGATGTTAATATTCCATGGCACACAGAACATTCACTAAACATTGGTGCGGTGTAATCAACTAATGATCTTTCCAAATTCTCAAAGTCATAACTAAATTTTAAAATAATCGTTGGACTGAATTTCATTGTGTCTTTGGCATTCATACATTTAGTATTAGAGCATATTCTTCTTTCTGTAGCTGATGGAGTGTTTTTCAAAAGTTGTGTAATTATATGTAGTACATTACATTTAGCATCGATTAATTTTACTTCAGTTATTCCTTTATCCGTGCTAAATATAGTTTTTAATAAAAGTAAACGCGAAACATATGTTTGTCTGGTTGTACCTTTTTTTGCTATATTTTTGCAAAATGTTAAAAAATCATTTGAAACAGAATCAATGTATTTTTTATACTGATTATGATCAAGATAGGCCATAGATATCATCGCCGCTATCGAATCAAATGAACATGTATTAATAACAAAATACTTTTTGTTCGACACACGCACACATGTTGACATATTTCCATTTAAAAGAATGGTTTTCATGCGGGAGCGATTCAGTTTTATATTCAATTTTGTATTATTTTTTTCATTTTCTGGAATACATTTGATATATTTTGATATGTGTTTTCTATTTTCCTTTATTAAAAAATTAATACATTATTTTTACTTATGTTATTTGTTTTGTATTATATATAAATTATAAAACTGGTGATTGAAGCATGACGATATTGTATAAAATTATATAATTGCGATGATTATCACACAATATTATCAATGCTGTTATAATATCGTAATTTTAGGTATTTCAATTTAATAAAATTGAACAGTATATTATCTGTCGTTATTCATTTGTTTATTATTGAAATAGATATAAAAAATAATAGCGAATGCTAAGTATCTCATATTAATTGTGTATTCGGGTTAAACTGAAAATATGAGGCCATTTTGTAAGCCTATGAGTATTAAGTATAGTGATATATTTGTGACCATGTGACCCCACACGTTCATTACAATTATAGATTCTAAGCAGAGAAACGAATGTAATAATTTTACAATGATGTTTATTTATTTTTTTTATCTTTGAACAACTTTTCAACTAGCAACCTTGCTCCAATTTACAATGACAGCACTTTTAGTGAAAGGAAATTTGACTGAGGAGGCACTCGAAATAGGTTATTTTTCGATTTTCTTAAGAGTTTTCCTAGCAAATGTGAAAGACCGGGAAAAAACACGAGAAAACCGAGAAAAACGTAGGAAAATCGGTACAATATTAAACAAATATTACTAAAGAAAATATTTAATGTCTGTATAGTTATTTTACCATAATATGACACATATATTATTGATAAATCATCACTAATAACTGAACTCCGCCCAGAATCGTTTTTTCGTTAGCAATGGTTTATAGTTGCTTACAGATATACATTAAATGTCTTTCTGTATCGTATCTTTCTATCTTCCCTCTTACAGCAGTGACTGCACCCGTGTGTTAAGTTTTTTTTATTATTATATTAGTGCAATACCGTTTGAATTTCAAACACATAGGTGATTAATTTTCCGTAAAATACTCGTTATTAGTTGTTACCTCGAAAAGTGTAAACATTTTTTGGAATTCACTAGCGCAGTAGCAGAAAAAGATCGCAACAGTGGCGTACTTAGAGGTGCAAGCTTGAACATTTTTTTCGTTTAAATTTACCAAAAATTTTAATTGTTATGTGCGTTTCTTAACATAATTAGTTTTTGGGGTTGTTTGGTTAGTATCGCTGCAACACAGACATTTATATTTTTAGTTATCAATGCTTGAATCTAATATAAATGATAATAATTAGGTGAAACATGACTGTTTTGACTATTGATAATTTCTACATTCCACAATGGCTTAACAATTAAAAAAAATGTCTATTTCATTGCACGCGTTATGGAACTGAGTTTAACAAGTAAACACTATATATGTAATTACTGCGAACGGCAAAGTGTAGTTAATGTAACCGGAATGTATAATCTTCTTCTTATTTTTTTTTCTAATTTGTTATAAAGTTAAATATTTATTATTTAAATAAGAATTAAACGACTATGCACATAAACAAAAATTAATATATATAGGTAAATACATGTTGAATACAAACTAATTATCAATTATAATTTATAATTAGTTGTGACTTGTGGTCTTGTGTTAAAACCAAATACAATGATACTACTTATAAAAAAGAGTGTAAAATTGTAGAAATGACAAACAATAAATAACAACAATTTAGTAAAAAGTAGTAAAATGTTTGCACACTCAACAAATCAACATTTACACTGAAGTAAATATACGAAATTTTTAATAATATTTTTTATTTTTTTAAATTTAATTTTTAATAATATCAAGGGATTTATTTGTTGAGAAATTGATGAACAATTTTAAGAACATTTCCTACAAAAGAAATGTTCATACAAATTTACATCACTAGGCGTATCTGTGGTGGAGAGACAGGGTAGTAGCTCTTTCACTCGGTCCGGTATGATATATGACAAATTTTGATTTAATGTAATGAATAATGAATACCGATGACGACATTATACGGCGATCATTTGCAAAACAGTGTGTAGCGTAATTACTAACAGCGAACATTTTTCTAATCAAAGAATAAAACCCCCTTACATTATTATTTTTTTAATTATTATAACTGTGTACAAAACAGTAAAAAGTGTATAATAGTGGTGATGAGTCGAACTATCAAATTTTCAATCGAACCAACCGTGACCAATATTCAAAGACATAAAATACATAGAATACAGTACAGTAGTATGGGTATATAAAATATGTTATATATTGTAGTTATAATATAGGTAGTAGTGTATACAGCGTATCCCACTGTGTTTGACGGATTTTTCTAAAGCTGTAAGTATTAATTTTTTTTTTTTTTCAATCGATCTTTGAGGGAGACATTGATTTGTAGAAAAATTAAATTTTTATTTTCATCCCCTAAACACACAAAATAAAAAATTAACTATATTATTTCACTTTGAACAATTTTCATTATAGCCAATTTGTAAAAAGATATTATTCTAAATATTTTAATGCATCACGCATTCATATCCGATGAATAATTTCTATGTAACAGCGGTTTTAAATTCTAACATTTTTAACATGTACAGTAATATATTATTTCTAATTGGTGATAGTATGATACTAAATTACGCGATTACGCGATGGAAGAATAAAATAACTGCACCTAGGTAATCACAAAACTGATAAAAATGATGAGTGCAGGCATCGCTAAAAATTAGTTTAAAAACCGTTAATTATGAAAAAAATGATAATGTATTAATTTATCAGTCACTACGCGTATTTTTAAGTATGTTCAGATTTGTTTTCAACCAGAAAAATTCCTCTATTTTCAAGAAAAAAAATCTTTTCTGAGAGAAAATTGTATTTAGTTTGTAAGTTTAAAAGAGGTTTTCGGATATTCGGTTTAGATTTCTTAATAACAAATGCACAAAATCGTGATATTTTATGGAAATTCATTTTTATGAATGGTTTTATAATGGTTTCATTATTTTAAATTTTGTTGTTTTTTGCTGTTGATGGAATGTTGAGAAGATAATAAGACATATAAAGTTCTTTAATTTATATCTATAAGCAATGATAAATCGTTGATAAAGAAATAGGATTCTGAGTGAAGTTCCAGTAAATATGTATTAAAATGCAATGAATTTCAGGATTTGAGTAAACATTTCAAATTAAAATGCTTAAAAAAAATATTATACTACGATCAACTTTTAGGTTAACTGTCAAATACAACAAATGATAAACTTTGTGTTAAATTTTCAAACATTTACTGTGGTCAAAAAATATGTGAGAGACCGCATTATTTTCACGATTTCACCAAAATTTTAACTTTAAAACCGTATAAAAAATGAATTTTGATCGTCAAAAACAACTTATATTGAACCTCCAGTAAAATTGAATACTTGGCCAAAACAATTTTATTCACATAAAAACCAAATAAAAAATAAAAAACTTGAAAATATCAAACGCGCACTAATAAATAAACCACAAGGTATTTTCTGAAAATTTTACTATATCTAAAAAAGGCCATTATACATGTATTCTGCTAAAAGTGTAAGGTCTTAAAAATTTCATTAAATACTAAATAAAGAAACGAATAAAAAAACTATATTGAAAATAATAAATATAAAATCGTTAATGTAGTTAACTTTCGGTTTTCCTGCGTTTATTCTCGATTTTTCCCATTACTATGAAAATTACTTAGATAATGAAAAAATTACCTCCTCAATGTACCAACTAGATTCAAAATTCTAAAAAGATCTTTGTTTTTTTGATTAGGACACGGTTCTCGGTAGAAAAGTAATTAATAGATATAACGAAAATAAGAACACACCACAGTAAAATCAATACATTCCTTGCTATACGCACAGAATCTAAAATGATGTACCTTCCTAATACCTATGTGTTCTTAAAAGTTAGTAGGCTAGTAACAATATATATATATATATTTTTAAACAATTTTACCAAATCATTCTGGGAAGAAGTTGGTTCGCACACGCTGGTTGTTTGTTCAGCATCCATCTTTGGAGTGTGTGGAGTACATACTTCCATTTTCACCATAAGAGAATTCCATATACGTTTTAAAAAAAACATTTTCCCAGATAGTGAATTACCGTCTGTGTTTTCTTTCAATGACTGATGATTGTAATTATTACAGGAAATATTCTTGTAATAATTTTTTTCAGCAAAAAGGAATTTTTAAACTATAATAGTAAAAATGAAATATCTACTTGGTATCGTTTTGTTATTAAATGTTCATTTACCAATTGTTTATTTTTCATTACTATAGTTATATATTAATTAATTATTTACATTAAACCGTATCGAGAAAAAAAAATACACAAATATACGCTTTCGGGGGAAATTCGTCAAAAACATCAAATAGGGTTTCTGCAATATACATTTAAATAGTTGATTAATGCAGGGAAATCTACTATTTTGAATTTAGGTGCATGGATGAACTATAGCCCTAATAAAATTGCAACTTGCATTCATAAATTATAAATGTATACATTAAAAAGACGTCCTAGGATAATGGAGACGAGTACAGCCACTATTATAGGTAAGTTAATGTATACTTGTAAGCAACGATAGGAATCATTGCTTACGAGAAAAACGATTCTGAGTGGAGTTCAGTTGATAGTGATCCTTTGTCAACAATATTTATGCCAAATTATAGTAAAATTATTAAATAGACTATATATTTTCTTAAATAATACATGTTGAATATTGTACCGATTTTCCCAGTTTCCCCAGTTTTTCACATTAGCTGAGACAACTCCGGGAAAAATGAAAAACGACCTTTCTCAAATACCTCCCCAGGGAAATTTTCTTTTAGAAACATTGCTATCATTAAAAGTTGGAGCAAATTTTCTGGTAGAAAAGTTGTTCATGAAAAAAATAATTTGAGGGGGAAGCTCAGGGATTTTTTAGGAGGTTATAAGCCTTCTTTAGCCCTACGTTTCAGCAGATGATAGTCCAAAAACGGCTCAAAGCTGGATTTTAAATCTGAAATTTCTTACGGTTGCACTTGAATTTTGGCTTTTTTATTTTTAAGCTCTGGGTTACTTGTACTTTATTTTCTTCTTTATTTTCATTAGAGTATTTCGAAAGGAGAATGTAATATTTGAATATCATACAATTTTTTAACCATTTGTACGTATTTTATGTTCAATATACTTATATGTGTAAAATATAAATTACGCGATAAATTTCCTTTGCATAGTAATAATTTTAATTAATGTGAATCTCACATTAGTTACATTATGTTATAAAAAGACACTATCAGTCTTCATAATTTGCTATTAATAGTTTTTTCACTGTTATTGTTTAGACAACTCAAATGGAAAATATTTGAAATGTCTGAAAAGATGATAATAGTAATCTGATGGCAAAAGACTCGCAGCATATTATTACGCTCCAGTGTTGTAAATACGAATAAGACATTTTTTTTTCAGTCATTTTTATCATTAAATCTTACTGACTATTATTACTTTTTGCGGGGAAAAAAGTTCACCGTGACATGTTTAAATCTGACATTTGCCTCGAGCCGATTCTGTGTGCCAATCGGTTGCAGCGAATAAGCCATCTGATACCGCGGTGTAATAGGATTTATTATATTATTATAATAGTATACATAATGCCAGAAAAAGGTCTCTACACCGACCGAACGACGCGACGACGACGACGATGACGACGGTGGGATTCAAAATATTGGATGTACATACTTGGGTACAGTGCTAAAGTCTTATAATAAAGCTATACATCATAAACAAATAGTATATTTACCCGTTTGTAGAATGTGAACAATTTCATGTACACAAATCAAGTATTCCTACACATATATTCGAGGAAAATATTGAGGACCCTCAATAGTTTTATTTAAACGCCATATTATTGTTAAATAACGTATAAATTGACTTTGCCTATAATTGTATTGTACGCTATACGAACGTGCGTTATTATCGTTGAACATTGAATACCATAGCTAAAACGCATAATATTATACTTAGAATTAATCAAAATAAATCGTCGCGTTCATATTTATCATCTACGCGACGAAAACTTTTAAAAAATCACGGTATATTTCACTTTATGACAGCTTGTAACCGGTGTAGGTGTAAGGTTATCCGTAAGGCACGAATTTAAATGCATTTTTGTCTGAATATTCTAAAACATTGCTGTTCTCCACACACAAAGTTCGTTTAAAGCATTCATGATTTGAAAATTTGAAGGATTTTATTTTACGTCTTTTAAACTTTTATGATTTGTGTAGCGTTGTTTGGTATTTATTAGGGCATTTTCATGTATCCAAATAATTTTTCACGATATTTAATAAGAGCAGTTAAAATATTAAGATAAATTATCTTAACACTAGCAAACTGCTGGAATTTAGACGCGAATTTACTAAAAACAAATTACATGTGTAGAAAAAAAATAAAATAAATTTCGTTCGTTTGCCGTGTTTGCTAGCCGGAACAGTCAGGGCAACGCGGGGGTAGTATATACATATCTTATTAAAGAATCGTTATAATTTAACTATAATATTGTATTTACATGTGTAAAATAAACATGCGGGGGATGGGTGGGTTGGAAGTATTTTATCACAGAATAAATTTGTTGATGTTGATCATGTTTAGTAGGTACTCGTATCTACAGCTATACGTTATCCACTTGCCCATCTGACTAAGTTAATTAACAACATTTTTATTTCAATAATTTTAACCATCGATATTCATGTATAACGGATAAAACAAATTTTAAAAGTATATTTCGCACCGCGGACATCTATCGATATGGTTATCTGCACTGTTGTAAGTGAAAAGTCGGGAAGGTATAATATTATACAGGATACAGTGTAACTCTGTGTGATCAATTTTATAGTATTATAGTAGTGCTTTTCCACAGAACTGAGGCAATTTCTTTTGTTGTCGGTTTTTTTAAATTTCTAAGGAACACTGTCGTGAATCTAGAAAAATCGTTGAAATTAATACAATCGGCAAAAATACGCATTTTTTAATATACGATATGAACAATTTGAAAATTTGCACGTACCAATTGAAAAAATATTATCCGAGAAAAACCGTACAGCTCATTATAAAGTATTATTATTAGCCTATTCGTTGCACTCAGAAATTAAAAACGAAGTGGTTTAATAATGTTTATTCGGAATGCCAAACTTGACCGTAATTAGCCCAATGTGTACAACGCTAGTTTCGCTACAACATTGCTCGATTTATTTATTTCTCGATATCAAGCGAGCTATTATTATGAGGATTTTCGACAACACACGTTCATTGTTTCTATTAGTTGGATTTGTATATTTGTACGCGGCTAACAGTATTATCAACACGAGATTTTAGAACCACATGATAAGATGCTATTTTTTGGTTGGCCCAAGCATGGAAAATAGCACAAAATTATGTTCTATCCCGAAAACCAACAGTGCCTTCACTAAAACCAATATTCAATTGCCAATTGCAATCACAGACGTCAAGTCCTCACAGACGATCTATAGCAGCAAGACAATACCTATCGTCTTGTGTATGGCGAGTTTTATTAATCTCGTTTCAAGAATTTAATATGATTTCAACCTGCAGTGTATCATGTTAAAATCGCTCGCATTCTTTTCTTCACGCTCGTTAAAACGATATAGGTATAGTATGGTCGGAATTGATTTTCATGCGGTTCCCGGCGAGTGAAAAAAAATCCAGCGTTTTATTAATTTACACCCACAGCGAAGATAATTATTATTATTTTTTTTATTATTACTCGGTATACCTAGTGTTCACAATATGGGATACTTACCACTTAATATTACAGCTGCATGACCTTGGATTGAAATTAGGTTTTTGGGAGTGTTAGGGAATACTGAAGGACAATTTGTTTAACCTTTTCAGTACGCACATACTTAAATACACTTACAAATCACACTTTTCACAATCACTTGCACCGATATAACTATATTATAAATTACTTTTGTAATTAAACCGTAAAAATAATCGTTTACATTTCGATTAGATTTTATTTCATGTTTAATACAAATATGGATGTTTCGATTGTTTTTTTTTTACGAGAAATCTGTATTAGCTGTGTTTTATTACCTTTTTCAGATTTTCAATTTAAAACGATCTGTGGCTGTTTGATCTTAGTAAATAAAATGCTTTTGCAAAAGTTTTTTCCCAGTGTCGTTGATTAATGCGACTAGAATAATATATTTTGTAAGTTATACAATATGTTTAAGTCATCGCAACAAACTACTTTATATAATAAAGTAACCTAACAATAGTTGAGTTGTACTCTCTCGGTCTCTCTGTCATCGGTTTTATCTTGTAAATCTTTGAATACTTACCAACTTTGAACTATATTCTGAAATACATTTTTGTAGCTCTAATAAACTATTCTAAGTCGACATAACCATTCTGAGTCGTCCTACGGCTATTTTACGATAATATACGTAGACATATATATATATATATATATGTATATTTGTATCGATAAATATAAATTTAATTTTCAATGGAAAAAAAAACAATATCTCGTTATTATTTAATTGAGACGACTCCGTTGTACGTGAACGTAATAGTAATTGCGTGCTTAATCGTATATTTTTAAATCCATGTTTTAGTTACATATTCTTAAAGTATGTACAATAATATGATTTTCATTTCATATTTATTATCGAAACGTCAGAGTAAGTATTTTCGAAATCTATACACTATACACAGTGGATTTTCCGTCAAATGCATGGATCAGATTAAGACGATAGAAAGAGCGGAAAGGGGGATTTAACACGTACACGAGAAAAAAATATAAAGGTACACCTGACCCTTGCACTTGCGTGGAAGGGAATATATAGAGGGATTATAATTCCGTTGTGTATATAGTTTTATTTAATATTATTTATAATCGTGTACAGTAAACACAATATATTTTTCGTAATTTATCCGGAGACAGATAATAATAATAATAATAATAAAAATAATTTTGTATAATTTTTTATTGATATTAATATCGAAGTTTAAAGCAACAGAACTTCCGCTGAAAAAACAATTTAAACAAACAAATATAAATATATTTTGTCAATAGTATTGTTATTACTTTTTATTCTGGTTCAGGTGGGTACCCGAAGCGTAGGTAACATGATTGAAATATTATTACTCTATACATTAAACTGTACTTACATAATAATAACAGTATGATGCAATTCAATATTCGAAAACTTTACAGAGTTTTCATAAAGAACAGTGGCGTATTCATGCTTTTGAATTGAGGAGGGGCTAAATACGATTTTGCTTGAGACATGGACGAAGAGGGATGGAAGTCTCGATCCTCAAACAAATTTAGGAAAGCGTTTTCATAAATATGCATTTTAATGTAAGAGTTTAAATTAAATTAACATAAAAAAAAGGATGAACATACTTCGCACGTGGGTGTAGCCATCGTTGTAGATGGGAAGTTAAGAAGGTAACATACAGATGAGAACTTAATGTAAATCTGCATGCAATGATAAGCCATCGCTAATGAAAAACAATTCTAATTTGAGTTCAGTTGATAGTGTTACTTTGTCAACAATATACAGGGTGTTTCACGATGATCTGCCACTTGAAATAACTTTCCTCCTATTCAATATTTTTGATATTTGTTTTTTTAAATAATTCGTATACCTCTGCGCTACAATTTATATATAAAGTTTTTTTGTTAATGGACAAGGGAACTAAAATAAACAATTTAAAATTTTGCTATAATTTTTCAAAAAAAATTTAATATAGCTGTTTTGTAAAATATATTTTTAGATTATTTTTGGTGGTTGAAACTTTTGTTAAAGTATGGTCATTTATTTTCTATGATTTTTTAAAGTTTTTGCAAACGTAAATATTACCTATTGTGGTTATTCTATATTTGATAACAATATTTAATCAATTATTAGTCAGGGCACACGACGAGGATTTTTTTTTCTCATAAGATGATACCTTGCAATAATATTATCATATTATACGTAATGGGTAATGGGTATCGAAAAAGTTAATCAATAATGGTCATTTATGTTGATAAACAATGTTGTTATGATTAAAAAGAAAATTATTAAAATTTTCAAAAAACCGTAAAAATTATAAAAACTTTACTTTATTAAAAGATTCAACCGCCAAAAATTGTCTAAACATCTATTTTAAAAATTTTTATATTTTTGTTAAAAAAAATTTTAGTAAAATTTTAAATATTTATTTTAAGCCCCCTCCTTCTGAAAAAAAAATACTCATACATAAATTGAAGCTCAGAAATTATATCAAGTGGGTGATCATCGTTGGACAACCTGTGTACATTATATTATGGTAAAATAATTACAACAATTATCGTTAAAAAAAGATAAAATAATAAAAACTTAAAAATAACAAAAAATAAATAAAAACGGTTGCCAATAACAACCTTATTTTTAATCTTTCAATCTTTCCTTCAATCTTTTTTAACCTAAAGACCAAGGTTTTTCTCATTATCTCGAATATTAATGAGAATTTCAGAAAATTACCTCTCTAAAGTACCACCCAGAGAACATTTATTTTCAGAAAGGTACTTTACTTGATAATCGGAGTATGCATTTTGGTAGGAAAAGTGTTCACATAAAAAAAATAAACATCATTGTAAAACCATAGCAATACCTTCCTCGCTCCATTCAGAATCTAAAACTTAATAGTTACTAAAATACGAACTATATAATTTTCATTTATGTCTTTTTTTTGTTTGTATTAGCTATATCTAACCAATTGGGTATATTTTCTGGCATATCACCTCCTTAAGTCGTTTTCATACGGTTCAGGGGAGAAAATATTATTTTAGAAGTACAAGAAATAGTTAGAAACGTAGTGAACACTCAACACGTAAAATAGTATATACATTATACATATACGCATAAACATAAAACACGTCTCTTGGAAGGCAATGTCCCCTCTATCCCTCTTTCTCCCTGGCTAGATAAAGCCTAATCTACTTTTTAAATTTTTCAGATTTCGAATGTACGTTTTTAGTCAGTAAAAATGTTGCAGTTTTTCTACATAAAACGAGGAATTTCTTTTCGTCGATACCTTACTCGAAACAACATTTAAAATGATCAACATTTCAACCCTTAATCCATTTTTATTCATAGCAAATACATTTTTGGTTAGTGAAAACGTTATAAAATGTTTACCTATATAGTACATACAACTCATTGTAAAGAACAAGGATTAAAGTGGGAGAGGGCGGAGGGAGACGGGAATAGCAGGGACATGTGAGAGACATAGTCTCTAAACTAAAGCTACGGTCAGCCCTTGGTTGTTTTTTTCCCCGATTTGGGAATTGCTTATCACTCTAATATAGCATAATATAACAATAATTGTAATACGGATGTATAAAAAAAATATTTGAAACTAATTTTGATAAATTTTGCTGGACTCAAACATAATTTTAAGAAATTTTAAATTTTTATACCTACATTGTAATCGGGATCGTTATTATTCACCAGTGCATTTTGGTTATCGTAAACCTGATTTTATAATATTATATGATTTAATAATATAACCAACGTAACTATCTCGTACGGTGGTTTTTAATATCATCGAGTATTTCACATACTATATAGCGTATTATTTTCATATATTATGTTTGTTCGCCTCCAGAAAGAATCGTTTGCCGGAAACGGAAGTGAAACCCACCGTTTCAATATACGAATATTGTTTTAACGAACATGAGTTTCTAGAGACATCATATCCGTTAAAATTCACCGGATTATTACAAAATAATACAGATTTGCATAAAACCACGTGCGCCTAACAAACGAATGCCCAGGTTATATAACATTTTATAGAAATAATAATTTACTTATCGGTTATCGGCCCAATAAAATTATAGAGACCGTTCTATAAAATTATCAAATATTATATTAAACATAGAGTTGTCGAATCAATGAGTTATTGAAGTGATTTCAGTTTTGTAAAATTTGCAGAGTTGTTTAAAACCACAAAATATTCCTTATAATTTAATTATAATATTGTTATCACTTGGAAACTCATAACCACGGTTGATAACAAAGCAAATGACTATAACCGTAGATAAAATATTATGCATGGATACATGGATGAATAAAATAATTGCATACATCGTAATTTATTCAATAATTGTAACATTACAAAACCGATAAATCATAAAATCAATTATATACAGAACTAAGTTAATAAAAATATTTAGTTTTTATTATTTTCAGTTTATATAATAATAGGATATATTAATTACAATTTTAAGTAATATTTTACCTCTATTAGCTGCAAAATATGATAAAAGAGGTTGCATCAGGTCGACAAAGGATGTAAAATTCTGTCGAACAGTATGAGGAGTTCAATACAAAACTGTTCCATCTAGGATATACATTGGAATAACAGGTGTGAAGAGGTACAATGAACATGGTGCATGATGTTTGCAAATGATAAATCTTTATATGAGATATATCTTAATTTATATTTATAATCTTTATCTTTATCTTTATCATTATATATCTTTATATATCTTTATCTTTATTTTTTTTTTAATATGAGAAAATCTCAAATAAGTTAACAATAGGCTTGAGGAATGGAGAGTAGCACTTGAATGAAAGAGACTAAGAACAAGTATAAATAAAACATAGCATGAGTTCGAAGGAACATAAAAGACAGCTAACCTTACTACGTAATGGTGTAATACGCGAGATGGAAAGTTTTAACTACTTAGAATCTTTTGTACAAAATAATAGTGGCTTTGATGAAGATGTGAAACTCTAGAGTAAAGTGTGGTTGAGTTAGGTTATAATGGCTTGGATATAATGGAAAAAGCGTCAGGCGTTTTATGTGACAGGAGAATTCCAATAACATTTAAAATTAAAATCTGTAAAAGTATAGCGAGACTGACTATGTTGGCCCATGGTTTGGAGTGTTGGGTGATTTTCAGAAAAATAAAATAGTTGATGAGTGTACTGTGTGGCAGAGATTAGAATGTTTAGATGGTTGAGTGGAGTGAAGAGAAAAGATATGATAAGGAATAAGTAAATAAAACGTAACTTCAGATTCAATAGGAGACGAAAGTGAAAATCGACTGCGATGATTTAGGCATGTCATGTAAATAAAGGAATTTAAAGCAATAATAATTGAAACCAAAACAAACATAGTTAGGATGAAGGCAAAGTAGTGAATTGTTTTCACGCAATCTGGCAAGAGTGTCATTACTGTTCGAACTTACCATCGACATATTGAAGCCCACAAACCATTTAAAAATACTTGCATCTGAAGCGAAAATATAAATATTGAGATGTTAATATAATATAATCAGTCAATTTTTATCTACCAGCGTTAGGACAATAATTTATAATGAAATTTGTATCGAATTTTCGAGCATAATTATTACACGAAGCCGTTACATTTTTAATAATAATAAAATGAGTCAAAGAAAAAAAAAGCCAAACAAAAATTACGAATAAAAATATATTTTTGAAAATTATATTATTATCACGCCGTGAAAATAAAAATATACGAGTATTTCGAGCTAAATTTAGTTCATATTTAGAAGAACAAAAATACGTTTTATATAATTATTTTTTTTTTAATCGTACTTAAATACTTAAAAGCAGTGTCACAACCCAGGGAAATTATAATCCCGTTCTCGAAATCTGAAATCATTTTTTTACAAACTCTACGTAATATGTTGTAGCTACATATTACTATATTATAGATGCATAATTTTGAATACGTTGGGTACTTTTCAAATAGGATTGCGATGTTTTTTAAACACGTCTTGTTTAAAACGGTTTAATCTCTTCCCAGTTTAAGACAGTGATGCTATTTGGAGGCCGCAGGGTGTATGGTTTTACCTTTCACGTTTAATATCATAAATAGTCCCAATTGACCAACTGAAAAATTGCACCATTATGCATGTAATTCAAATTTAAATTGTACTTTTATACTAACGTCACTGCTATTTTAATGTCAACCGTGGTTACAGCTTACTTGGGTTAATAAATAAATATCGTGCTATCAACTAATTAAGTAAACAATAGATATACGTCATAACTGCAATTATTGCTTGTCATACTATTATAATCTTAGTTCATGGTGGATGCGTACACTAAACTTAAAAATTGCCGGTATCCGTTTTTTTAAAATTTACTGTAATTTTTCTTTTAGAGCGTTTTGCTTGTATACAAGTTATAGACATGAAATATAAGCGATACTCTATAAATTTTAATACGTTAGAAGCCGCTTATTAGGAACACTTTAGGACCGAGGTGAAACGTGTCAATTAACCGATTGTTTCTAATAAACGATTGGCGTTAATATACGATTATTTAATATACGACAGGTCTGTCCTTATACATTTTGTTTGAAGAACGCGATTGTATCAATCGTTCGTGTTTCTAATAAGCGGCTTCTACTGTATTATAAGTGCTTTTCAATTATTTTTTTTGTATTTTTCAAGTTTTATCAATGCATTACTTATTGGGATTTCACAAAAAAAGTAATCAATTATTTATTAGTATTTAGTTTTAAATTTCTTTTTACATTTTATATTGATGTGGCCTGTGGGCAAAACAAAAAAAAAATTAAAATCATGATAATGTGCATAGCTATATAAATTGTTATATGGTCTGATTGAAACTTCACATGAATGAAAAGAAAACTAAAATGATTTGGTATCAAACATGTAGAAGATACAATATAAAAAAGACATAAAACATGTTTAACGTTTAAAAACTTTTAAAAATGTAATTAAAATTAGTTATAATGTTCTGAAGATTGAAGGTTAAGTTCCTATATTCCTATATCCTCGTAATGGTCAGAATCTAAAAAAAAAAATAAAATGATTTCTTATTGTAAAGTATGCGTTATCAATCTTTCATTTAAAAATCAAAGGCCGGTAGAGTCGTATTAATCATTAGAATAATGCCAACATGTTGATAGTTGGGTGCATCTTCAATTTTACCCCATATATCCTTCAAAAAAATTAATATAAAATTTCGATGAAACTCAACTTTCCGAGATTTAAGGCATTTTCGGCGCGTTCAAAAGAATTCCTCTGTATAAAATAAACGTTATATAAAGTTCAATAATAACTCGAGTTGAATAAGTTCAAAGCGTGTGTGTATTCTTAATGAGACTCGTTATTTTGTCTACACCGTATGCGTAGTTATATTGCCGTTTTAATTGTTATTTTATCAGCATTGAACAAAAATACAAATTTATAATGTATTTTATCGTCAACCAAAAAAGTGATGGATACGTAAATGATAAGTTTAAATGATTCATACAAATTTTTTTAAGAGGACACTTCGCCTGCATTTTACTGTATCTGTCTTACAAATGGACAACATATCAAATTTTCGTGCAACGGGGATTACTTGAACTGTTAATGTTAGAGTTAATTGACCAATAATTAAATTTAAATACTAATAAATTATCTGCGTAAAGATTTAGCCTTTTTTTTTTTAATTTTTTTTTTTAAATTTTTGAGGGGGAAAGAAGCATTTTTAGATATTGTGATATTTTACATAGTTAACCTAAATATTAATATGAACAACACACAATTTGATATGTTATGTGTATGTTAAACGAACGGAAATTACATAATATGTCTAGCGGTGATGAGTATCATCGGTATAATATTCTTATATTCGTATACATATTACATTAGCGTCAAAATTTTAACTTTTAATGCTTATAAACAATTTAAATATTAACTATACCTAAGTTATGCTGAAAATCAAAAAAAAAGTTGACGATCGGACAGAAAATTTCGGTAGAGAAGCTGCACACATATGATAGAGAAAAAGTGGTTAAGCGCACATTATTGGTAAAATAGCATACATCGCTTCGTTCAGAATCTAAAATAATGTATTTTATAAAGAAGTAATAAAAATGTGTGCAATCGGAAACAAAAAAAAAAAGAAAGATATTTTACGTACATACATGTTTTATTAGAATGGGTGTTTTTGAGTACGTTTGTATAATAATACATTTCGAAAGTGTATGGGCACTATTTAAATTCTGTGATAGTTGAATATCCCACCTACTTTACAAAAAAACTGCTCGTTACACTATTGTCATTTTTCCAAACGTGCATTACATTACCATACGTTTTCGCATATTGTCGATTATTATTGATTGCCTTTATTATTTTTTTACAAAACGTTATAGTCAGCACAATATTTCTGGATTTCATATTCTATACGTTTATGAGTATTTTGCAGAACGGCGAGACGCGATAAAACAGTAAAAAATATAATATATTCAATAAGTTTCAACTGGCAACGTTTTTTTCGACGGGTGTAGTAATATAAAACACGCGGTCGAATAAACAAAAAAAAAATCTCATTTTATGAATCGCTCAGATTAATGCGTCGCAGAAAATCACGAACAACCTGAAAAAAAAAGAAAAGCAAAAAATATAAATCACCTAATTTAATAAAAATAAGTATTTTAAGTAGATAGTAAAAGTGCACACGATTTGTTACATATCTAGATTTCATAAATGTTGTATGATTTTAAAACGTTCAAACTCCGCTCATAATCGTTTTTTTTATTTGCAATGGTTTATCATTATTTACAGATGTACATTAAATTCCCGTCTATAGCAATTGTTTTTTTTTTTTTTTAATATCTATACTGAATAATAATAATTAAACATATTTCAAAGGTTATTTAGTCATGAAATTCTTCAACTAGGTCCCGATATTGCCTTCACAAAAAATAATTCGTATTGTCGATGGAAAAAAGTGGATATTTTATAGTAAAAAAAAATAAATAAATAATAAATACAATATTTGTATTGAAGTATCAAAACACTATCTATAAAGTTTTAGTTCAATTTGAACGACAAATAATCGGAATGTCTGAATAATTAATCGAATTACAAACGATAAAAAGTTGTTTATAATATACAACAGTAAAATCACAGATCAGCAATACATGTTCAAAAGTATTAGGTTTTCAATTTTTTTTCTCTACTATCATATTTTAAATCTTAGATTATGTTTGTTCCAATTTTCGTGGTAATTTTCATGTTGAATTTTGATTTACATTGTAATTTGTTAAAATTTTTTGGCAAAAAAATACAAAGTTTAACGTATACGTCACAATAGTTTGGATTCTGAGCGAAATTTTTTACTATTAGGAGTGCTTATATTGTTTTCTTTCTGTATAAGATAAACTTTTCTAACGGAAATCTTCGTTGAATCCAAAATTGACGAGATACATTTTTCGTCTCATTAGGCATTAGGCATCACACACTGGTAGATAATAACACCAATGTGAATATTATTATACCGTATACTTACGCACGATAATCTGACTCTGTATAATTTTTTACAATGACAAATTTATTTTTGTTATTCTATAATAACTATTTATTAGAAAAATAATGAAAAACTGTATACATTTTATTTAAAATACAATGCGATGTCGTGTAAATAATTTTAACCAAGTTTGGTCTAGATATCTACTTCTGATTCGGATGCTAAGTTAGTGATGATGACGACGATTTTTATTGCCGATAACGGGTCACCGAACCCCTTCGCAGGCGCCACGGTTAGCTAAAATATCACAGTAAATCTGTCATCGTTATCACATCCCTATTCGGTACATACTTAACTTGTCGTCCACGGTTAAATATCACGTCACTACGCCACCACCGGTATCTAACAACAACAACAACAATAATAATCATAGGCGTGCCCAAACTTCATCCGTAGAAGTATCATATTGTAAAACAC